TCACGCGTTAACTTGCTATAATCGCTGGATTTAGAAAGCTAAGAAAATAACAAAATGATCTCCTCCCCATACCTCTAATTAATGCTACTATTCAAGATAAATTCTGTCACAAATACTACATACTTATTCACATTCTCTCCTGCTTTTTATAATTACAAGATAAAATGCACATGTTGTCGCTCATTATGGGTATAGATTTTTGTACTAGAGTATTTGTTCCAATAGTTTGTCTGCATTTGTAAAGAAATGGGCGGCGGGTACCGTCTTTCGTTAATTTGACTGAATTTTTAATCGCTTGGTTTGTGTTGTATAAATGAAGGATTCGTCATATTTTCTAGAGATCAATTGGATAATAAAAAAGAATAATGTTTACAATCGCTAGATTTACAAATTATGAAAACACATATTAATCTAGAAAGCATCCTCGCTTGTGTTTAGACTTCCACATAGAGTACATCGGTTGTCTTCTCAAAGGGTAAAAAAAATCCTAATTGAAATTGTAAAAGAGTCTTTTTTTAAATGTATGTAGCACTTATGTAACCTACAGAAGTGTCAACGGAATATATCACATAATAAGCCAAAAATTCGTCAATAAAACACACGATGGAAACTTCCTAGTGTATGTCTAAAGGGCTGTTTCGACAGTGTTGAACTTGTGATGTCACAGATGTGGGCTACCCATAAATGTGCATTTCAGATAAAACGTAACATCTCGGAAACGGATTTTACTACGACGTTCGCACTTTGCTGGCCTTCTATTGTATAACATGAAGTATTTTATGGCTAAATATAGCAAAACACTCAGGCTACACCCCAGTTCTCCTAAGGGCCCACATTCAATCGAATGCAGCAGACAGTATTCTTGGGGTCATTGATGTCCCTTTAACAGAAGACAAAAGATGAGCTTGAGCCATATTCAAGATCATAAGGTAAAATGTTTTTATATATCCGAACAAATTATTCTGAATAATCGAAAGGTCCAGAGTCATATGATATTTGACTGAAAGCATGCTGGGATGAATAACCTTAACACCACTTTCAAGGTCACGTTGATGAAATATATGTATATTCAAATCTTCGAACAACCTGTGCTGGGCACAAAGAAATTCTAGAGGGCAGTGTATAGAGACTAATATACATAGTTATGGCTTCAGATCAGTGGATCAATACATGTCTCTTGGACCTCTTGGGTTTTTTTCTGACCTTTATTTACTTTGTACATCTGTATTTAGACAATCTTGATAGCATATACTACAGCACACACGTGGCCGATCACATGTGAATCTTGACTCCAAATGCGCGTTATCATGGTAAATAAATGATACGATATTTTATCGTTCCTACGTAGTACTGCTACTAAAGATGTATACAAATCGGTCACTCGTTTTCTGTTGATTACGGACAAGATATTACAGGTATACACAATCTGTGTAAGGTTTTAGTACCCAGGTGTCCGACAGGTGTAACAGAGCGGGACAATTCACCACAGGTAATATCAAAACCTAGAACAATAGAAGTCAGATCATGTGTAGATTTCAACTTAACAATAACTGGATAATTACTAAGCTTTGTAAACGTAAGCGACTGTCGTGAGTGTTTCGGACGGAGTACTTATGTACTTACATACACAACTGTGCAACTGCCAGAAATGATCTGCGTGGAAAATTTGAGAAATAGACAATTATGAAAATATTGCATTGGAAGGAGAGTTTGGTGGGGATGGGGGTTGGGGCAATTTACATGGCGGTTTTGGTGATATCGCGGGTAAAAAGGTAAGTTTTTTAATTAATTTTGAAACTTTTTTTATGTGCACGGATAGTCCGAGTTATCATCTGTCGTTCTATCAACTTAAGTATAATTCGGACAAGTTTAAGGACTACAGCGAGCCAACTGTATCAACAATAGTTTTCTGTACCATTCCACACGTACACCCTACACAAACACACACACACACACACAAACATGTCTGGGGTCGGGAAATTTAGGGTGGGACAGTTTGATAATTAGTTTGAATATGAAAAAATATAAGGCAGTTTCACTTTCCCATAGGGAGGTGGGGGTTGGGGGTGGGGGGTGGGGAATAGGTGGTCTCTTTTCACCATTGTGGTGTTATGAACGGCGTTTACTCTACGGTTGTGGTATTTTGACCCGGTGTTCATTTAACCATGCTTCACAATATCATGTCACACCGGTACCCTTCACCGACTAATTTATATATATAGCATAAACCTTTTAATAGAAGGCTAACTTTGGCTCACGTGACAGACAAACTAGGAATTTTAATGAGTTATGATCCGTCTGATGTTAGTGCATCAGATATCCGAGACTGTTTGATAAGCAAAATTCTTATGGCATTCTCATTATCAACCTAGAGCGTTTTCGTGTACTCAGATTAATGACTGATTTCCGACATTTCTCTTTCTTGCTTTGTCGCATTTTCATAATGCGACAATGCGACAAAGTATTAAAGCGAAACCGTAGAAATCAGCCATCCTAATCTCGAGTTCAAAAACCTGTACTGTGAACAATTTTCCATATATATTAGATGAATTCTATAAACAAGAAGATCCCCGTAATCCGCTCATAAGCCCATGTCTGGTAATAAGCCCACCTGTTTTTCTTGCTCTTCAATAGGATTACAAACACTTGTTATTCAGTGTCCTGTCGGAGGTAAAGCGTCGGCCCTGTGGATTCATTCTGAGCATATCATTACCCGATAATACACCAATCATTTCTACTAGTAAATAAAAAATAATCGTTTCCTGTGATAAGGCACGGCCATAAACAGCTTGGTGATAAAATATAAATGATTACGGTTCAGATAACACTATTAGTTCTTGATTGTTAAACAGCTAAGCTGACGTGACTGTATACTCAGCAATACAGGTCGTCGGTTGGTTTATAATGATCGATTTCCTGAAATGCCAATTGTCAAAAGTTTTCGGAGAGAACATACAAACATCTCTCTCAATTTTTCGATATTATCTGATGTAGATATGCACTTCTTCATCTTTCATGTTCTTTCTAAATTATTTTCAGGACTAACCTGCTCCCTACCTATATTTCGATTAATTTCTTTCGGTAATTTTCTCAGTCGCCTCCTAGGCTTCAATATTTAGGCCTTTAGCATCACTAGCGAGTCCTAGGAGGACGAAACAGCTGTGTGATGTAGCATCACTAGCGAGTCCTAGGAGGACGAAACAGCTGTATGATGTAGCATCACTAGCGAGTCCTAGGAGGACGAAACAGCTGTATGATGTAGCATCACTAGCGAGTCCTAGGAGGACGAAACAGCTGTATGATGTAGTTTGGTTCATTGTACTATTTTGCTTATAAAATGACGATAATTAGCGGCCAAAATTTGTCGGGTAGCTAATCACGAAAGTATCGAGGTTGTTTGTTTTGTTTGATCAGACAGCAGATGTAGATCAGATCGCGTGTCGCCAAAACTATCTCTGGTGTCTCTTAGTTTTCGAAAGTAGTTAAACATTCAATGATATTAAAGGATAGTTCAAAATATGCATTCAGAAATAACGTTATTTCAGCATAATGATGGAGTCCATACAACATGAAACGGTTTTACTATCTCTGCACGATTTAAATCAGTTTGGTCGAAAAAAACGAAAATATAAACACGCAGAAATAGTCAGAATTCTTCGGAATTGGTCATGTGACTTATCAAATGTATATTGTTATGTCAGTTTTCCATCAGAACGAAGGAACCGTCATATCTCAGTCAGTAAGGGTGTTGGTCTGTATAAACTTAGGTGAAAATCCCAAATATGTGGTTCGGCGTTCCCTGTCGACCCATGGGGGTTTGTACTTCTCATGAACCTCAAAATGACCCTGTCTGCTAACAGGGTGTTTAACCAAACACCAGAACTCGCATAAATATTCGAGAGGCAATAGTTTAGAGGTTAATTCTATATCAATATATCTATGTTGTATATCTACGTCTTAATAAAACATCGTTATCAAAATCTGATAAGTTATCTATCCTAAGGTGTCATGGACTTGGCAAGCCTTGTTCAATAATGTGTATATCATTCTGGAAAACCTTACCTTTTCGCGTATCCGTAATGAAGTTTGTTCATTTTTCCTCCTTCATTTATTGATTATGTGTATGAATGTTTAACAGCTATATCATTCAAACTCTTAATCATCTCTTGATTTTCTAATTCCTCGGTGACAACCGACATTGTTCGATACAATTATATTTCCGGGTCTATTTGTATCTAGGTCAATTATATTTTCGGATTCAGTTGGATGTACATTACACCGTATATTTCCGGGTCCAGTTGTATCTAGGTCACACTGCGTTTCCGTGCGTATATAGGTCAAATCATATTGCCGGATACAGTTATGTTTTCGGGTTTAGTTTTATGAAGGCTAAACTATATTTCAGAATCAAGTTGTATTTCCTTTTATTTGTATCACAGTCAAACTATACTTACGGGTCCACTTGTACCGAGGTCACACTATATTCACGGGTCCACTTGTACCGAGGTCAAACTGTATTTACGGGTCTACTTGTACCGAGGTCACACTATATTTACGGGTCCACTTGTACCGAGGTCAAACTGTATTTCCGGGTTCATTTCGCGTCAAATGCATTTCTGGATCCATTTGTGTCTACAATAGGCTCTCTATATGAGTCCTCTTGTATCGATATTTATCAAACACAAGATATGCACAAGCGTACACGGTATTATAATGAGATTCTTTAGGAAATTCTTTGCAATTTCCAAAACATTTGCAGCGTTAAAATGAATCAGCAATAAAATTAATGGTCCTATATTTTGTATTTATCTGTCTGTCCGTCCAGCTGTCTTTATCTATTCATTTCTTAATTAAAATGTTTTCGTTATGATCTTTTCAAAAAGCGATATCTACAAAAAAAATGGTGTATTTAACTGACGTATCGTTTTGGTTTAGACTATTTACATACGTATAAATTAGTTTATATATGTATATATATATATATATCTGATTCCAGGGAGATGGCGCTTATTGAGTCGTTACTATGGTTACCGTTAGCGCTGCTTGGGCAAGTAGCCAGAGTGATAGAAGCCTTACTATTCGTGATGGTGGGTAAGAAAAGAAACAATCGGAATTTATTTGTCATAAAAAGGATATGTGATTTATACTATCTCAAGGTTGTGGTTAAATCTTTCATTATTCAATATTGACGGCGACATTTACAAACAAGGAGCCCAATGCACATGTGTCGCTATTCTGATATCACATCGACGTAGTTGAAATTCAAAGTCTTGATTAATGAAATGAAGCCGTTTGAAAATTTTAACAAATTTGATTCTTGTGACCTTTGATAAGAGTGTAGGGTCTCGTGCGTCCGAGCGTAACTCTTTAATGGCTTGAGAATGGAAATTGAAATACTTGACAGAGTTACCTCCCTTCCCATGTGTGTTTCCTTTGTTTGTCGACAGCCTAAAAACCAGAAGTGTCACTACATTGAGAAATAATCTCGAGACAAGTGGAGAAACTACGGCAAAATTTAGTTCTGGTATTTACAAATACAAGCTGATCATCAGAAATTAAAGTTTCAATTTTCAATTACATTTTGTAATAAGGAACACACCCAGATGCCGAACTGTATATTTTGTCCTGTTCTTGCGTGAGTGAGAGAATTACATCGCGAATTGTTCCTCCTATACCAAGATATTTGCATTGTCAACGCATTTAAATCCAAATCAGCATGCACCTCGCAAAGTTAAGTCTGTTCAAACGTAGGTTATAATTAATTTGATATAAACTTATTATGTTATCACTGAATGTAGTCTTATCTGGACGTAATCATTGAAAGACAAAATATTTTAAGACAAAGTCTTTTTCATAGTAGGGTTTTGTACACCTCGTAGGATTTCAAAACAGAAATAAGTCACATATCCTGAATTTAGGCCTTTTAGTTAGCCAAAAGATGTCATTTGAAGGGTTTGTGATCATGAATATAAGACAAGGCCATTCTTTTCGCAAATTGTTTTGGACTGTATCCAGGGAATCTACCAGCCAAACGTTATATGATCCCAAGACTTTTGATAAGAGAGAAGTTGTTTGAAAGTTGTAACAAATCTGACGCAAGTGACCTTGAATATGAGTCAAGGTCATTTTTCCGCAAACGATGTCTGATTTCATCCCAATTTTTCATAAGTCTTTCTTTTTATAAAGAATATGGGCCTTTCAGTTCATAAGAAGAGATCGTTTAAGGAGTTCAGCAAATTTAGCCCCTGACACCTTGAATATAACTCAAAGTCATTTCTTATCTTTATCGAAGGAACATTCCAGCCAAATATTATCAATATGGACTTTTTGGTTATTGAGGGAAAAAGTCATCTAAAACTAAAAGTTTAAGACGGATGAACGGACGGACGGACGACAGAAGCTGTATTCACTTGGCCCTTCGGACAAGGTCAGCTAAACAAACCATGGAAAGGTAGTACGAAAAAGATACTTTAAAGACATTTCATAGTTATGGTTCATATTTTGATTTAAACAGATTTTATTGTAAATAAGTAGCGATATGATTTATCATAACTTATATCAATCCCTTTCCAAACATATTCATAAACACATGATATTTACAAGGTGGCAGTAGGATATAATAATAATGAAACTATTATAAACAAGTTGAGAGAGAGAGAGAGAGAGAGAGAGAGAGAGAGAGAGAGAGAGGTGTACAACATTTGTATGTTGATAATACTTTGTGTATATGTAGATCTTGCATCTGCTCCTTTTCCATGGCTCCTTTTTATGGTTATGGTTTAATGGTTACAACTCATTCAAATCCCAGCTGCTGATACACCCTTTTACATTACTAAGACTCGTTAACATGCGGTGGACCTCGTGCATAATTTTCGGTCTGTTAGTAACCAGATTCCGACTTAAAATGACCAGACTGTTCACGGGACGACAAGCACAGCAAACAAAATATGCTAAATAGTTGAATTGCATCTTCAGCCGTTTTGTCTTCCTTGGACTCGTCAGAGAATCGCGAGAATCGAAATCGACACAAACCAATGATAAAATAATGATGATTTCATTGTTATATAAAACACTGAGGATTTGCAATAGGTCTGATAGTCAGTTAGACAGTTAACATATACAGACTTAGGTGAAGATCTGAGGTGAGTGGTTCGACGCTCCCTAGCCGTGTCGGTTAGTGTTTCTAGAGAAGCTGAGAAACGGACAGGTCTATGCTGACGTGGTTGTGTCTTTGGGCAAGACTCTTACTCTTTTTGCTTGGAGTGACGTGTGATGGACCTCCAGTATATTGTTCAGTGAGATAGCTACAACAGTCAATACAAGGAAACCACGCCTCCAAAATGACTGTACGGTTCACGGGGCAATAAATATAATAAAGAAACAAATACTGTTATATCATTTCATACCGATGTATATAATTACATTGTTGTAGATTTTAGATTGATTGTTAATCATGTTCATGACTTTTCGTGCTGTTTTCCCCCTATCTAGATAGAATGGTACGACGTTTATGTATACTCGCCTTTACAAAGATGGCTGTCACCAGTGGTTGCCTCCATACCACGTTCTTTGACCATCAACGGACAAGTCTATGATGTGTTCACGGCCAACATCGTCTCGTGGTCACGGACCCTGCTGGTCATCCCAATAGCCATTAGTCTCAAGTAATGTCGCTTTCATCATCTTCTTAAAAGTCGGTCCACGCGTCCACTTATTTTCATCTCTCGGAGTTATTTTCCCCGTAGACGGTAAAGCAATAAGCTAGACAGACGAATGGGGCCGAGCAAGTTGTCCGTGTCGGAGTTGTTCTCAGATGTCAGTTAATGAATGTTCATTAGTCTGAACCATCGCTCGTACAATATTTGATACTCAATAAAATCACATTTCTAGTTCATATAATGCCAGGTTCTCTTCAGAGTTATTTTCTACACTATATTCTATATCATCTTTGTGATAAATTGCTGATCATCAAACTGTATGAATATTAAAATGTGAAAGAAAGTCTTTCTAAAGATGTCCAGCTTCGAATTTAGTATGATGATATAATTTAGAATCCCTTCAAAAAAATGTGAAATTTTTGTGAAATGTCGAACCATCATGCTTATTTTGTTCTATAATCTATATGTAATCTAGTCACACTATTTTCGAAATAGCGTACCATGTACAAAGGATAAAAGTACAGCCGAAAAAGTAGATCGATTCCTTACTAACTCTGGGTAGGTCAGTGACAGTACGCTTCACACTGGTCATTTGTCTGATTAAGGTGACTGTCTAGTCATCGAAACACCACATTCAAATCTTCGCTGGTTGTGTTATATATATATATAATTTTCCTATTGACATTGTCATCATGAAGAAGAGGTTCCGAAATATTGAAACATTGTTTTCTATCTCCTGGAGTAAAATTTCTGCAATAACAGCGGTAGGAGGTATTTTCATAAGCTTTGTAACGAAAGAGAAAAAAAAAACACCAACTGAAGCATTGAGATTTACAAAAAGCGAGCGCGTGTCCTCTGTCCACAGGTATGAGTATTCCGTGGTTGGATTCCTCTGTCCACAGGTATGAGTATTCTGTGGTTGGATTTCTCTGTCCACAGGTATGAGTATTCCTCTGTCCACAGGTATGAGTATTCCATGGTTGGATTCCTCTGTCCACAGGTATGACTATTCCGTGGTTGGATTTCTCTGTCCACATGTATGAGTATTCCGTGGTTGGATTTCTTTGTCCACAGGTATGAGTATTCCGTGGTTGGATTTCTCTGTCCACAGGTATGAGTATTCCGTGATTGGATTTCTCCTGGTACTACTCCATGACTTCCTGGATCACGTGGACGGTATCGTAGCCAAACAGCACCGTAAGATGTTTGGACAGGTTGACGATCCATTGCTGGGCGGATTCATGGACGCGTTTTGTGACAAGGTTTGACTAAAAACAACATAGCGGATGTCAATGTTGGAGAATAATGTTTTCTGTGGTATTTGTTCTTTTTCCTTGTTTATAATGGCGGTGTCTGATGTTGTTCAATTTGTTACGGTATTTTACTGTTTCATAAACATTTTTTTGCAATTGTTCTCTGACTGTGATGACTAGCCCTTTCTTACTGTAATGACTAGTCACTGGGTTTTTTTCAGTGATGACTAGTTTTTTTCTACAGTAGATGAAAAAGCTTCGTCGGAACGTTATGATAGACCAAAGGAAGATTATTGATCCTGCAAAATGCAATGTAGAATTATGATATTTTTCGTTATTATAGTTTAGTTAAATGTTTGTAGGTGATAGTGACAAAACTGAAATCAAAATGACGACGATTATTTTAAACCCACGTCGATTTAATATTTTACGTCTTTCAAGATTGTCAACGTGCTGTGCCTCTGGTCGATACTGATAGTGACCGATTTTGAACCGATGACTTTTCAAGAAATGCTTCTGTTATTGGTCTCCTGTTTCGTCATTATTGGATACGAATTCGTGATAGGTGTTGTACGTGTACAGGACTACTTTAGAGTCTATTATCAGAGGTAAGAAACGTTAGAAAAAAGTTTACTTCCTAAAGTTTTCATCAATACTGAAGCTTCATAAGCGCAATACTGAGAAGAACCAAACAATACTAGCTTTACTGGTTTTTGCCCTGTAGAACATTTCTCACGGATTTAGTAGACATTTCGCTCATTAAATGGCTTATATTTCAACATCACATACGACATAGAAATAAAAATGGTGATTCCGCAGATGATGGAAAATGATAATGGTGAACGACATGATCAAATTGAAAAATGCATTTCCTCTTTGCTCGCTGTAGTTGAATCACGTTTGAAAGTGTTACATGTTGCAGTATCGAGTCATTCTTTACCTAACACTAGCGGTACTGGGTTGGAATCTAAAGCGATACGCGATGTGAAATGGTGTTTCTCCAACGGAATTTGATTTGAAAAAAAGAGATGTCACTGAAGAAGTTTAATAATCTATTCCTATCATATCTTCAATTGAAATTTTGCAATGAACGGTACTGATATCTACCGTACAGCGTTTGTTATAAATGCGCCGTTTAGAATGTGAATATTGAAAATTTTTCATAATCATTAAAAAAAAAAAAGATTTTATATGGCATAATCTGAGGTTTGATATTACTACTGCCTCTGGTGGTTCAGTGAACACGTATCCTCTATCAGCATTTAAATCCTTCTGGTTTCTGTCTCATTACATTGGATTTATTTGTAGAGAATACAACCTAGAAATCACGTCAGACAACACTGTTAACACGGCTGCTGTGATGGAGGGAAAACTGAAGGAGAAACTGGAATCCATGGGAATAGGTCTCCTGTGTTTAGCCCAGTCCTCAGTGAACACCACCACGTCAGTGTGTACGTAAATCGGCTGTTTACTTCGTTTACTATACAACTGGTACATATGTAAACAAACTAATCTTATATACTCGGAGACCCCGGAAGTAAGTGCCTGTAATGTTAATGATGGTGAAGGTAAACGGGTAGAAGATCCATGTTTTGTTAAGTCGTTACATAAATTATTCAAAACCACTATTAAGAATTTCCTTTATAATCTTCCATTTTCCATAATAACATCTAATAGGTTTTAATCTAATTCGACACGTGTTTATTCATTTTGTCGACAGTTGGCATTGCTGGAATTCTGTGTCTTCTTTTATCTGTCCGCCTTGCGCATGCGTCATTATGCCACAAACTAAATGCCAGAAAAAGTACGAAAACGGTCGTTAATCAGCCAAACCCCAGAGCCGAGACGGAAGAAAAGAAACGAGAAAAGAGAACGTCGCAATCCGACGATAGCAATAAAACGACAGAGGAGGAAGAGAACAGAAAATCGGTATGTTCTGAATCTTTTCACATCCTGTAGGAGAACTCGGAATAAAGGTCAGAAATGACTGACCTGGTCTTGAATTTGGCGATTTCTTATCAAAGTCAACGTTTACAGTTCTTATTAATGATTACACCCCGTCCGATTTTTACCGCACTCATTAAAATCTGTTTGAAATCTTCTGAATGTCCTTCTTAACTTTTGAAAATGAGTCAGTCGTCATTTTAATGAACAAAAAAAACCCCCAAATTCTTATTTAATAGGATGATGTTAATCTGGACACGATTTCTCCCCTAAGAGGAAAACCGCCAACCGTAAAATTCGACAGGACCACGTCGTATGAAGATGACGGAAGTAGCAGGTATGTAAGGTTATAGACATTTGGGAGGTCATGATGCGATAATTATGTTTGAGGTCATTCTCGAGATAATGGGGCAGTAGAAACAGCATCAACGGTAGAACATGACACCAGATAGTACATGACACCTGATAGTAAATGATACCTGATAGAACATGACACCAGATAGTACATGACACCTGATAGTACATGACACCTGATAGTAAATGACACCTGATAGTACATGACACCAGATAGTACATGACACCAGATAGTACATGACACCAGATAGTACATGACACCAGATAGTACATGACACCTGATAGTACATGACACCTGATAGTACATGACACCTGATAGTACATGACACCAGATAGTACATGACACCAGATAGTACATGACACCAGATAGTACATGACACCAGATAGTACATGACACCAGATAGTACATGACGCCTGATAGTACATGACACCTGATAGTACATGACACCAGATAGTACCTGATAGTACATGACACCTGATAGTACATGACACCTGATAGTACATGACACCAGATAGTACATGACACCAGATAGTACACGACACCAGATAGTACATGACACCTGATAGTACATGACACCAGATAGTACATGACACCAGATAGTACATGACACCAGATAGTACATGACACCTGATAGTACATGACACCAGATAGTACATGACACCTGATAGTACATGACACATGACACTAGATAGTACATGACACCAGATAGTACACAACACCAGATAGTACATGACACCTGATAGTACATGACACCAGATAGTACATGACACATGACACCAGATAGTACATGACACCAGATAGTACATGACACCTGATAGTACATGACATCAGATAGTACATGACACATGACACCAGATAGTACATGACACCAGATAGTACATGACACCTGATAGTACATGACACCTGATAGTACATGACACCTGATAGTACATGACACCAGATAGTACATGACACATGACACCAGATAGTACATGACACCTGATAGTACATGACACCTGATAGTACATGACACCAGATAGTACATGACACCTGATAGTACATGACACCAGATAGTACATGGCACCAGATAGTACATGACACCTGATAGTACATGACACCAGATAGTACATGACACCAGATAGTACATGACACCTGATAGTATGACACCTGATAGTACATGACACCAGATAGTACATGACACATGACACCAGATAGTACATGACACCAGATAGTACATGACACCTGATAGTACATGACATCAGATAGTACATGACACATGACACCAGATAGTACATGACACCAGATAGTACATGACACCTGATAGTACATGACACCAGATAGTACATGACACCAGATAGTACATGACACCTGATAGTACATGACACCAGATAGTACATGACACCTGATAGTACATGACACCTGATAGTACATGACATCAGATAGTACATGACACCAGATAGTACATGACACCTGATAGTACATGACAACAGATAGTACATGACACCTGATAGTACATGACACCAGATAGTACATGACACATGACACCAGATAGTACATGACACCAGATAGTACATGACACCTGATAGTACATGACACCAGATAGTACATGACACCAGATAGTACATGACACCTGATAGTACATGACACCAGATAGTACATGACACCTGATAGTAAATGACACCTGATAGTACACGACACCAGATAGTACATGACACCTGATAGTAAATGACACCTGATAGTACATGACACCTGATAGTACATGACACCAGATAGTACATGACACCTGATAGTACATGACATCAGATAGTACATGACACATGACACCAGATAGTACATGACACCAGATAGTACATGACACCTGATAGTACATGACATCAGATAGTACATGACACCAGATAGTACATGACACCTGATAGTACATGACACCAGATAGTACATGACACCTGATAGTACATGACACCAGATAGTACATGACACCTGATAGTACATGACACCTACCAGATAGTACATGACACCAGATAGTACATGACACATGATAGTACATGACACCAGATAGTACATGACACATGACACCAGATAGTACATGACACCTGATAGTACATGACACCTGATAGTACATGACACCAGATAGTACATGACACCAGATAATACATAACACATGACACCAGATAGTACATGACACCTGATAGTACATGACACCTGATAGTACATGATACCAGATAGTACATGACACATGACACCAGATAGTACATGACACCAGATAGTACATGACACCTGATAGTACATGACACCAGATAGTACATGACACATGACACCAGATAGTACATGACACCAGATAGTACATGACACCTGATAGTACATGACACCAGATAGTACATGACACCAGATAGTACATGACACCAGATAGTACATGACACCTGATAGTACATGACACCAGATAGTACATGACACCAGATAGTACATGACACCAGATAGTACATGACACCATGATAGTACATGACACCAGATAGTACATGACACCTGATAGTACATGACACCAGATAGTACATGACACCAGATAGTACATGACACCAGATAGTACATGATACCTGATAGTACACGACACCAGATAGTACATGACACCTGATAGTACATGACACCAGATAGTACATGACACCAGATAGTACATGACACCAGATAGTACATGACACCAGATAGTACATGACACCTGATAGTACATGACACCTGATAGTACATGACACCTGATAGTACATGACACCTGATAGTACATGACACCTGATAGTACATGACACCAGATAGTACATGACACATGACACCAGATAGTACATGACACCTGATAGTACACGACACCAGATAGTACATGACACCAGATAGTACATGACACCTGATAGTACATGACACCTGATAGTACATGACACCTGATAGTACATGACACCAGATAGTACATGACACCAGATAGTACATGACACCTGATAGTACATGACACCTGATAGTACATGACACCTGATAGTACATGACACCAGATAGTACATGACACCAGATAGTACATGACACCTGATAGTACATGACACCAGATAGTACATGACACCAGATAGTACATGACACCTGATAGTACATGACACCTGATAGTACATGACACCAGATAGTACATGACACCAGATAGTACATGACACCTGATAGTACATGACACCTGATAGTACATGACACCAGATAGTACATGACACCAGATAGTACATGACACCTGATTGTACACGACACCAGATAGTACATGACACCTGACAGTACATGACACCTGACAGTACACGATACCATATATTTTTCGACAGCTTTAATGAAAATTTAAATAATAGTGTGCAACAAAGACAGTATGCATTTTTTCACGTCTAGATGTGGTGCGCCGGTTCGCAAACGAATTTTGTTGAGTTTGTCTCAAGACCAACTCAGTTCATCATCCCATGAAATCGACATAAGCAAGATTCAATCCTTATGTTTCAATTAACGCTTCTTTTTTCTATAGCATGGAAAGTGACGCAATTTATCTTCTACTTTCATTTTTGTTTCTTGTCATCATATTGTCTGATGTCATACAAGCAAATAGTCCGTCATTTGAAGACAGATTATTGTGACAGGTTGAAATTTCAGCGTGGTTACTTAATATTCAATGAAACTATATAGTAAATAGGAAAAGGACACCAGGAAAAGTGAGAATTGAAATAAAAAGACACTCCCAAATATGTCATCGGGAAATATCGTTATCAAGTCCTGAACATTCAATATCTTTCGAACAATTTTTATGAAGATCATGATATAGAGAAAGCACAAGATAGTTTACATCAGCTTTGAGTTTTTGCATAAGAAAGCATAGTCCTCCAGTGAAAAATGAAGTTTAGAAATCTTTATTGGTAAAAAATTTCTGATAACAAACATTTTAAAAATAGATATAACATTTTTTTCTGAACTTGTGCGAGTATTTCTAAAAATCCAATAACTGCGTTAAAGGTTATTGCAGATTTGCAATGTCATGTTAGGAACAAAAGTGTTGTTCCTGTTTGGATTGAGGACGATGTATGCATTTTGACAATTAGGAACGACCTAAGTTATAAGGCCTGTCCTGAGAAGGAGAGCTATCAATACATGGTACATGTTGTAGAATATTCTTCTATGGTGAAATCAGACAAACTGGAATGTATAATTTCACTATGACCTGATCATGAGGTGTACAGGTGTATTTGGACCCATTCAAACTATGTTTACCACATTTTTAGACACCTGCCACATGTTCTCAAGTCCCTGTGAACAGTTCTTCTGTTTGCCTTGATTCTTTAAGTTGTACGCAATTTCAGCAGCATTGTCTCTGTAACACTAACATTGTTTTATCCCTCATTTCATTAAGTTCCATTTCGTATGAGGAAATCCTGGAGTCTGACCCTCACTTAAAGGATGTCATGCATCGCCTGGTTCGACAGCACTCCGTGCCTTCTATTGGTCTAGACGGACGGGTAGATAAAGTCTTTTCTGTTGGGTGTTTTGACCTTTTCCATGATGGTCACCGCTGTTTGCTGCATCGCTTGAAAGCCATTGGTAAACAGGTATAGGCTGTGTATTTGTCTTAATTAGAAATACTTCCAACGATTATCTGCCAATTTGCTTTATTTTACCAAAATAATTAATAAAAGTAAATATATGCACCTGTTGATGGCAAGTTTTTCCTTGTTAATGCTCTCTTACCTTTATAGGGGCACTGTGTAGAAAAGGCAAGAATTTTTAAATTTTCTGTTCAATTGCTTTTAAATTTGATACAGTGATACACAAATGGAAAGGGTTTGATGTACATACCAGGTTTTTCATGTAACCCTGTCTTTTTAGAGTTATGCTCCATTTTACAATTGTATGGTGTAGTTTACTTCATTGTTTGACTCTGCTGTCTCTTATCCAAACTTGTATTAAATGTTGATATTCATCTGTGTATTTTTTGTATAATCTTTGTACTGTTAATCTTGTCAGGAGATCTCTCTCAGTGCTCAACCTGTTTATTTTTTAAAAAGGCAGACCTAATTGCCATGACATGAAGTTACATTTCCTGAACTGCGCTTTGATTCAACTGAATTAGGAAGAGTTATTGCCCCTTGTAATCATTCAGTTTCTCAAATGATTTCTGTCAAACATGGTTTAATCACCATCACCTTGAATTTTGATTTCCTTAATGGCATTGTGATTTCGCAAGTTTTGGAATAGTTAATACCCTTTGTTTTTAGGTCACATAGGTGAACTATAGCCGTCGTCTTTTATTCATCATCGTGCACCATCCGCTGTGTGTAAACTTTCCATTTAAATGGCTTCTTCACCAAAACACCAGGGTGCTGATATTGGACCTCTAGCATGATGGGATGAAGGGTTACAAAGTTTGTTAAAATGAATGACCATGACCTATTTCAAGGTCACAGGGGTCAAATATGTTAAAATCTTGAAACAGTCTCAATAACCAAAAGGCTTAGGGTGCTGATATTTGGCCTGTGTTCAACAAGCATGATATCTGGAGTAATGAATATGATATCAAGTTTGAAGAAAATCTCTTCATCAACCAACAATGTGTCTTCTATGTAGAGTAGATTATTTTGTTACTATTTGGCCTCTTACATATGTAGATTTTTATAGTCAGATGACTGTTCAGACCCATTGGTCTTCCGTTAATCCTACCTGGCTCTATAATAACATCTTATCATCAAGAGCTGTACAATAACAGGTGATTGTCATGTACTGTATAATAACAGGTGATTGTCATGTACTGTATAATAACAGGTGATTGTCATGTACTGTATAATAACAGGTGATTGTCATGTACTGTATAATAACAGGTGATTGTCATGTACTGTATAATAACAGGTGATTGTCATGTACTGTATAATAACAGGTGATTGTCATGTACTGTATAATAACAGGTGATTGTCATGTACTGTATAATAACAGGTGATTGTCATGTACTGTATAATAACAGGTGATTGTCATGTACTGTATAATAACAGGTGATTGTCATGTACTGTATAATAACAGGTGATTGTTAGGTACTGTATAATAACAGGTGATGGTCATGTACTGTATCATAACAGGTGATTGTCATGTACTGTATCATAACAGGTGAGGGCCAGGTACTATATAATAACAGGTGATTGTCATGTACTGTATAATAACAGGTGATTGTCATGTACTGTATAATAACAGGTGATTGTCATGTACTGTATAATAACAGGTGATTGTCATGTACTGTATAATAACAGGTGATTGTCATGTACTGTATAATAACAGGTGATTGTCATGTACTGTATAATAACAGGTGATTGTCATGTACTGTATAATAACAGGTGATTGTCATGTACTGTATAATAACAGGTGATTGTCATGTATAATAACAGGTGATTGTCATGTACTGTATAATAACAGGTGATTGTCATGTACTGTATAATAACAGGTGATTGTCATGTACTGTATAATAACAGGTGATTGTCATGTACTGTACAATAACAGGTGATTGTCATGTACTGTACACTAACAGGTGATTGTCATGTACTGTATAATAACAGGTGATCGTCATGTACTGTTCAATAACAGGTGATGGCCAGGTACTGTATAATAACAGGTGATAGTCATGTACTGTATAATAACAGGTGATTGTCATGTACTGTATAATAACAGGTGATTGTCATGTACTGTACAATAACAGGTGATTGTCATGTACTGTATAATAACAGGTGATTGTCATGTACTGTATAATAACAGGTGATTGTCATGTACTGTATAATAACAGGTGATTGTCATGTACTGTATAATAACAGGTGATTGTCATGTACTGTATAATAACAGGTGATTGTCATGTACTGTACAATAACAGGTGATTGTCATGTACTGTACAATAACAGGTGATTGTCATGTACTGTACAATAACAGGTGATTGTCATGTACTGTACAATAACAGGTGATTGTCATGTACTGTATAATAACAGGTGATTGTCATGTACTGTATAATAACAGGTGATTGTCATGTACTGTATAATAACAGGTGATTGTCATGTACTGTATAATAACAGGTGATTGTCATGTACTGTATAATAACAGGTGATTGTCATGTACTGTATAATAACAGGTGATTGTCATGTACTGTATAATAACAGGTGATTGTCATGTACTGTATAATAACAGGTGATGGTCATGTACTGTATAATAACAGGTGATTGTCATGTACTGTATAATAACAGGTGATTGTCATGTACTGTATAATAACAGGTGATTGTCATGTACTGTATAATAACAGGTGATTGTCATGTACTGTATAATAACAGGTGATTGTCATGTACGGTATAATAACAGGTGATTGTCATGTACTGTATAATAACAGGTGATTGTCATGTACTGTATAATAACAGGTGATTGTCATGTACTGTACAATAACAGGTGATTGTCATGTACTGTATAATAACAGATGATTGTTAGGTACTGTATAATAACAGGTGATTGTCATGTACTGTATAATAACAGGTGATTGTCATGTACTGTATAATAACAGGTGATTGTCATGTACTGTATAATAACAGGTGATTGTCATGTACTGTATAATAACAGGTGATTGTCATGTACTGTATAATAACAGGTGATTGTCATGTACTGTATAATAACAGGTGTGATTGTAACAGGTGAGGTACTATATAATAACAGGTGATTGTCATGTACTGTATAATAACAGGTGATGGTCATGTACTATATAATAACAGGTGATTGTCATGTACTGTATCATAACAGGTGAGGGCCAGGTACTATATAATAACAGGTGATTGTCATGTACTGTATAATAACACGTGATTGTAAGGTACTGTATAATAACAGGTGATCGTCATGTACTGTACAATAACAGGTGATGGCCAGGTACTGTATAATAACAGGTGATTGTCATGTACTGTATAATAAACAGGTGATTGTCATGTACTGTATAATAACAGGTGATTGTCATGTACTGAACAATAACAGGTGATTGTTAGGTACTGTATAATAACAGGTGATTGTCATGTACTGTATAATAACAGGTGATTGTCATGTACTGTATAATAACAGGTGATTGTCATGTACTGTATAATAACAGGTGATTGTTAGGTACTGTATAATAACAGGTGATTGTCATGTACTGTATAATAACAGGTGATTGTCATGTACTGTATAATAACAGGTGATTGTCATGTACTGTATAATAACAGGTGATTGTCATGTACTGTATCATAACAGGTGATTGTCATGTACTGTACAATAACAGGTGACGGCCAGGTACTGTACAACAACAGGTGATGGCCAGGTACTGTATAATAACAGGTGATCGTCATGTACTGTATAATAACAGGTGATGGTCATGTACTATATAATAACAGGTGATTGTCATGTACTGTATCATAACAGGTGATTGTCATGTACTATATAATAATATTTGAATATGTATTTGTACATTTATTTTGGAATACTTTAGAACTATCATGTTCTGTTAATTAGATTGACCGTGTCCTTCCTTTCTCCATATTTTGTTACATTCACTTAAATATCTTTTGAATACATGAATTCATATGTTTACATATTTTGACTAGCTACAGCTTCTTGTCCATGCCATTAACAATAATCAGAGCACTTGGTCTCAGAGTATTAATTAAGTGTTCAGGTTTTGCCAATGTGATTGGACCATTCTGATCTCCCATAGTTACTTACCTTCCCTCTATCAGTACACAATCATCTTGGCAGCACCCTGAGGGGGACTTAGAAAGCTAACGGGTTAAATGTATGGGTTCACCTGTCCAACCAAGTGGGTTTTTCCTGGGTACTCTTGTTTCCTCCCACAGTAAGACCTCTCGCGTGCTTCAATCCAGGCCACCAAGAGTGATTGCTATAAAATGATGTAACTAGTTTCACAATTATTGTAAAAGGAATCAAGTTGATAGCTAGGGGAGAGGTTTAATTCATGATTAAAACTAGTTACAGAAAACAGTTTCCATGAAACTTTCAAAGGTTCAAAAATAATTTTGAAATGAAGATTTTGATGAATTGAAACAAGAAATGGAAAGTTGGAAACAGAAAATATTTAAATTGGGAATGAAAATGACAAGATATTAATTTACTTTCTAGTAATGAGGAGGCTAAGAGCTAAATGTCCAGTTATTGCACAGGAACACATTAGGGAAATAATCAACAACTTGTCATACTTTAACATTGCGCAAATCATTTTTCCAACCAAAACAAGAGTGTCAGGTGTGCTTATTTGGGCGAATACGTACTACTATAATATAAGAGGCCGCCTGTTAGCCTGTTTTATTATCTAACAATATTGTGCTGACTGTGATGGCGCCTGTCATAAATATCTTTCCGTGTAAAACTTCTAACATTGTTGGAGTAGTTCGATATGGTGTTAGATAAAAATGATACCTCCAGGACTTCAGTGTTCACTTTATAGAGGTATATTTTGTCACTGGTTTGAACACATGTGCCATATTACTTCCCACAGGTTTACTGTATTGCTGGTACAGATCCTACCCCATTCCTGTCCTGTATCCTAGACACAAATGACGGGTGTTCTTGTGTTTACATCAGAGGGGATGACATGCAGGCATTCCCTGCACGAGAGTTCTGTGAGAAGTTAATGCCTGTAACGTTTCTTCCCTATTCTTCCGGTGTTTCCTCAACGAAGATTCGCAAGGAGCAACATGACTCCTCCAGATTCGGCCCACACGTCAAAGCAGACCACGATGACATCCTGTATTGATTTATATTCTGATAACTATTTATGTATTTCTTATGTTGTTGATCATACTTATCAACAATGAACCCCATGACCTGAAAGTGATTGTTTGAATAACCGAGATATGTATATTAGAGATGGATGTGAGAATTCCAAGACAAATTTCTCTGAGAGGGCATTGCACTACCCTATTTTGTGACTGTATGGAAGGACAACTCTCACACTGGTAGACACTGACAAATAGATACTGGAGAATATATATATATTTAACACATGATAGCTGCTTGAGAAAAATATATGTGTGAGAAGTCATTCCTTCATGAGAGTATACAGGTGAGCAATCCATAGGACTCCTAGTAAAATATGTAATTAATTACAGGAGAACATATAGGTGTGCGAGAATTCTTAAACAATTTAACCTCAAAATAGTGTAAGGATTCTAAGACATTAAAAGTAGTTGATAGCTACCACATTGAATAGTGTATGGGAGCCGATAGTCGGGTGAAGTGTCGTACCCAGGATACAACCAGGACAGCTAAGACTGCATTTCTCAACTTATTGCAAAAAGAGCATTGAACAAAACACCTTGATCTTGAACCCAGCTGAGTAAGACTAACACTCTATTAACTGGGCTGTTCAGATCCCGATTGGTATATGCAAAATCAATATTTGGAGGTAAATAAATATCATCCAAATTATAAATATGTATTTCCTTATTCATTATCACCATAATATACCCTCTACTGTACAATAAATATATCAGATACCCTCTACTGTACAATAAATATATCAGATACCCTCTACTGTACAATAACTATATCAGATACTCTCTACTGTACAATACATATATCAGATACCCTCTACTGTACAATAACTATACCAGATACCCTCTACTGTACAATAACTATATCAGATACCCTCTACTGTACAATAAATATATCAGATACCCTCTACTGTACAATAACTATATCAGTTGTACACCCTCTACTGTACAATAACTATATCAGATACTCTCTACTGTACAATAACTATATCAGATACCCTCTACTGTACAATAAATATATCAGATACCCTCTACTGTACAATAAATATATCAGATACCCTCTACTGTACAATAACTATATCAGTTGTACACCCTCTACTGTACAATAACTATATCAGATACCCTCTACTGTACAATAACTATATCAGATACCCTCTACTGTACAATAAATATATCAGATACCCTCTACTGTACAATAACTATATCAGTTGTACACCCTCTACTGTACAATAACTATATCAGTTGTACACCCTCTACTGTACAATAACTATATCAGATACCCTCTACTGTACAATAAATATATCAGATACCCTCAACTGTACAATAACTATATCAGATACCCTCTACTGTACAATAACTATATCAGATACCCTCTACTACACAATAACTATATCAGATACCCTCTACTGTACAATAGCTATATCAGATACCCTCTACTGTACAATAAATATATCAGATACCCTCTACTGTACAATAACTATATCAGATACCCTCTACTGTACAATAAATATATCAGATACCCTCTACTGTACAATAAATATATCAGATACCCTCTACTGTACAATAACTATATCAGATACCCTCTACTGTACAATAACTATATCAGATACCCTCTACTGTACAATAACTATATCAGATACCCTCTACTGTACAATAACTATATCAGATACCCTCTACCATACAATAACTATATCAGATGCCCTCTACTGTACAATAAATATATCAGATACCCTCTACTGTACAATAACTATATCAGTTGTATACCCTTTACTGTACAATAACTATATCAGATACCCTCTACTGTACAATAAATATATCAGATACCCTCTACTGTACAATAACTATATCAGATACCCTCTACTGTACAATAGATATATCAGATACCCTCTACTGTACAATAACTATATCAGATACCCCTACTACAATAAATATATCAATAAATATATCAGATACCCTCTACTGTACAATAAATATATCAGATACCCTCTACTGTACAATAACTATATCAGATACCCTCTACTGTACAATAACTATATCAGATACCCTCTACTGTACAATAACTATATCAGATACCCTCTACTGTACAATAACTATATCAGATACCCTCTACTGTACAATAACTATATCAGATACCCTCTACTGTACAATAACTATATCAGATACCCTCTACTGTACAATAACTATATCAGATACCCTCTACTGTACAATAAATATATCAGATACCCTCTACTGTACAATAACTATATCAGATACCCTCTACTGTACAATAACTATATCAGATACCCTCTACTGTACAATAAATATATCAGATACCCTCTACTGTACAATAACTATATCAGATACCCTCTACTGTACAATAAATATATCAGATACCCTCTACTGTACAATAGATATATCAGATACCCTCTACTGTACAATAAATATATCAGATACCCTCTACTGTACAATAGATATATCAGATACCCTCTACTGTACAATATCTATATCATATACCCTCTACTTTACAATAACTATATCAGATACCCTCTACTGTACAATAATATATCAGATACCCTCTACTGTACAATAATATATCAGATACCCTCTACTGTACAATAAATATATCAGATACCCTCTACTGTACAATAATATATCAGATACCCTCTACTGTACAATAATATATCAGATACCCTCTACTGTACAATAACTATATCAGATACCCTCTACTGTACAATAAATATATCAGATACCCTCTACTGTACAATAAATATATCAGATACCCTCTACTGTACAATAAATATATCAGATACCCTCTACTGTACAATAAATATATCAGATCCTCTACTACCCTCTACTGTACAATAAATATATCAGATACCCTCTACTGTACAATAAATATATCAGATACCCTCTACTGTACAATAAATATATCAGATACCCTCTACTGTACAATAACTATATCAGATACCCTCTACTGTACAATAAATATATCAGATACCCTCTACTGTACAATAACTATATCAGATACCCTCTACTGTACAATAACTATATCAGATACCCTCTACTGTACAATAGCTATATCAGATACCCTCTTCTGTACAATAACTATATCAGTTGTATACCCTCTACTGTAAATAACTATATCAGATACACTCTACTGTACAATAGATATATCAGATACCCTCTACTGTACAATAAATATATCAGTTGTATACCCTCTACTGTACAATAAATATATCAGATACCCTCTACTGTACAATAAATATATCAGATACCCTATACTGTACAAAATATATATCACATACCCTGTACTTCAAATTTTTCAGATTTTTAACAAATGGAGACTTTATTAGGTAGCCAAGAATTCGGGTACCTTGATGTACACAAGTTGAAATAATGATATTGTGTATACCAAACCTGAACAGCTGTAGCATCTCTAATTCTGCGTGGGAAGGAGTGCATAAGGACATCGACTGACTGTAGAGGAATGTTATTTTATTCCTCAGTAAGTGCATTGGCTAACTGTCAGAGATTGTTGGGGAGGTTTGCTTGATTCTGACCTGTCCAATTAATTCAACAAGTGTTCAATTGGGGACAAACAAGGGCTATATGGAGACCACTCAATAGGGACTATGTTTGGGGTTGCAAGAAAGTCCCTACAAACTTTTGCAACATGTGACCAAGCTTTATCATGCTGAAAGGTCAAATGGTGCCTTATGATAGAAGGCACAATCCGAGGCACGAGGATCTCATTGTGATAACTTACAGCTATTAAATTCCTGTTAATGATGTCTTTAAACCCTGGAAAATTCCTCCCCAAACCTGATCACTTGACACAGGATCATTTAAGGTAAGTGTGAGATGAATCCTACACGTGGAAATGAGAACTTTAAAACAGATGTTGTTCAGGAAAACCATAATTATGCAATTATGTTACAAAATGTCTGCCATGGCTGCTGACTGAGCTGTTGACGAGGCGAAAAATAACAATACTTTATTGACCTCCTTTCCTCAACTTCCCCACCAAATTTTAGCTTATTGGCACCAACCTTAACTAATGGAACTAAGAAGATTGGCTTTGGTCATATTGGATTTCAGAATGACACAAAAATAATACTTCTTCAGAACCATAACAGTTAAGCCAAATTTCATTTCAATCCCAGTGGTGGAACTTTAGATGTTAAAAATTTTAAAAAAAAGTTTATGCATAGTACACAACGTACAGAACACGGCAGCTATAGATCATACTGACACTAGATCATGCTGACACTAGATATGAGCTCAAAGAGTTGGATACATGCAACTTTTCACTGTATGAAGGTTATTTTCAAAATTTTTTTTATGAGCTGAATATTATGAAAATTAAAATAAACAGTTTTGTATATCCCTAAAATAAAAAACACGACATATTTTTTTCAACAATTGCTCATTTTTATGACCATGAAAAATATGATGATAAACTTTTAGTTTAAGTTTCAACTGTGTAAGTAAAAATGCAAAACAATATATCAGATATCTCCTACCCAAATACTATACAATCGTTTTCATAGGGCTCAGTTTTTGTGGTTTTTCAGAACTTTTCTTTTTCTTGTAGGCTTATATATATAACTCAATATACCTCCTCATTTAACAATTCATCGACATATCAATTTGTTGATTAACAGGATATTAATGAAAATAAATGCACAATGAAGTATGGTTTTACAACAAGCCCAAAATAGAATCTGTTTCCAGTTTCTGTCTAGAATTTAAAAAACCTTTTCCAGTATATTGTCATAAGTTAAGCTTTATCCTAGGACCCCCTTCAGTAATTAAGGACCACTTTTAGTAATTAAAGGCCACTTTCAGTAACCAAGAACTAGCTTCAGTAACTAAGGCAACTGTCCACCACATGACACATCAGCTAAACAAGAGGCACAGAGGGCCTGTATCGCTCACCTGGATCTTTATGACCAACAGTACTATATCTTTGTATATGTTCCACGTTTAACACATTTGACCCCTGTGACCTTGACTATGGATCAAGGTCATTTCTTTTTGTAGACTTTCTTGGACATCATAAAAGGAACATACTGGCCAGATATAATGATTCTAGGCTTTTTGATATTTCAGAAGAAATTGTTTAAATGTTTTAACACATTTGACTTCTGCGACCTTGAATATGGTTCAAGGTCATCTCTTTTTGCTAACTCTGTCGCTCTTCATCAAAGGAACCTTCCAGCCATATATAATGATTCTAGGCCTTTCGGTATTTTGGAAGAAATCGTTTAAACATTTTAACTTATTTGACCTCTGTGACCTTGAATATGGCTCAAGGTCATTCCTTTTTCGCAAACTTTGTTGGGCTTCATCTAAGGAACTTTCCAGCCATATATAATAATTCTAGGCCTTCCTGTATTTTGGAAGAAGTCGTTTAAAAGTTCCAACACATTTGACCTCTGTGACCTTGAATATGGGTCAAGGTCATTTCTTTTTGCAAACTTTGTTGGGCTTCATCAAAGGAACCTTCCAGCCAAATATGGTAATTGTACGCCTTTCGGTATTTCAGGAAAAGTTGTTTAAAGGAAAAGTTGACGGACAGAAGACGGACGTCGCGGTATGGCATAACCTCACTTGGCCTTTCATCCACGTCCATCACACTGACACATCAACCACATGTCTCTTTATTTACCACCCAAAACTTACCTCATTCATCCTCATCCATCACACTGACACATCAACCACATGTCTCTTTATTTACACCCAAAACTTACCTCATTCATCCTTGTCCATCACACTGATACATCAACAACACATCTCTTTATTTACCACCCAAAACTTACCTCATTCATCCTCGTTCACCACATTGAGACATCAGCCACATAGATCTCTTTATTTACCACCCAAAACGAACCTCATTCATCCTTGTCTATGGAAATGTGGAAACGTCAAAATAATGGATGTGAAACCTGTTATAAATATATTTCAGTCATACAATTTGTAAGTTGTTCTCCATTTGCCAAATTAATGAAATAAATCTTGGGTGAAAATAAACCTTTGAATAGCAGTGAAATATTTATCATTTGAATTGAAAACCACAGAAACTTTAAATTTCAAAAATTGCCAATATTTTTATTAAAATATTTTCCCTGCAAAAATAACCGGCTATATGGCATGTCTTCATTTCAGAGGAATGAAAATTGTGTGGAGCCAGCTGGATACAATTAACAGCTTATAAACAACTATATCATTTGATAATTCCTTGCGTTGTAATAAACAAATAAAGTGTATGGAGCCAGTTTGGTACAATTAACAGATTACAATTTAGCTATATCATTGAACAATTCCTGGCTTCTACCAGCAGGATACAATTAACAGATTACAATTTAGCTATATCATTGAACAATTCCTGGCTTCTACCAGCGGGATACAATTAACAGATTACAATTTAGCTATATCATTGAACAATTCCTGACTTCTACCAGCAGGATACAATTAACAGATTAGAATACAGGAAGCAGTTCTGTTTTTGAAACAGTTTGAAAATGTGATGTTATCACATGTGCCCAGTTTAAAAGAAAGACACACAATCACATACGAACATTGTGTATATGTTGATATTAAAACATTAAATACTAACTATATCTAACAACTGTTACTGATATTTTCATGTATGTCATCTTTTACTGTTTTTTACTATGGTTTGTCATAATTTGCAAATAAAACAATAATATAATAAACAAATAAAGGCCAAGTGTCTTAACGGTCATCTGACTATTAAAGCAAATATATGATAGAGACTCAATAGGCCTGAATTGCTCACCTGTTCACAAAGATAATTTTTAAAAACTTGAAATTCTATTCCTTATACATGCTTTTACATCAATACCATGACCACAGACCTATTGTTTGCTGAGAAAGAAAACGTTAAGTTCTCAACATATTTGATCTTAGCATTCTTGAAATGGGTCAAGGTTAATCATTTGGATAAATTTGGCAGCCCTTCATCCAATCATGTTACAGAACCAATATCAATAGCCTAGACCTGTGGATTATTAAGAAGTCGTTTGAAAATTTTTGCCCATGTGACCTTGAAAGTGGGTCAAGTTCATTCATTTGAACAAACTTGTTAGTCCTTCAACCCAGGAAGCTAAAGGCCAATTTGGTCATTGAAGTCATTGAAATATTTGAACACATTTAACCCCAGTGACCTTCAAATCAAGTAAAGATCATTCATTTGAATAAACACTGTGGTCCACTACTTCAGCATTCATAGGTCCAACAGAAGGAGCTTTTTCAAATATTTTTACACATTTGACCCCTGTGACCTTGAAAGTAAGTTTTGTTTGATTAAAATTTGGAGTCCTTCATTCCAGCATGCTTCAGGTCTAATAACAGTACCCTTGGCGCTTTGGTTATTGAGAAGAAGATTTTTGAATGAAAAGTTAATGCTCGGTACACAACCACCAAAAAAACAAGATGGCTACAGCTTTTACTGAGTCTTTGGGTCAGATGACCTAAAAATGAGAAATCCTCCACTGCAAATGACACCACTATTCGTGGTAGGGTATAGGCTCCATCGAAGTTTTCATGTTCATGGCATAGTTGGTGACACTATCTTTCTACCTGAACGAACACAACAAATACCGAAGTAAAGTGACCGTCAAGTGTTACAAATAATTCAATAATTTCATTTATTAACCTTGTAACACAGAGCTGATGATTGTGGGCTATCGTAATCCTATTGTCAGCTAACACTCTTGTTGAAATGTGTGAGATTTTGTCGCTGGGTGAAAATACATGTACCTGTACTAAATGTGTTGTTCCAATCATGACGTGTTAATGACAGTGTTATCATAGCTGACAGTCCATGAAATAGACATCAATACATTGAAAAGTTTGATTATTTAAAAACTTGATTCATAAAGGAGTAAGTTAGCGGTAATATATAGGAATAAAATTCAGTAGCTAACAAAAACTTCAATACACGGAGAAATTTGAATCGTCATAGTAGTTAGACTGTATATATAAAATGAGAACTTGTCCAATGCAAATGGCACTACCAAAATGCTCGTTTGATGTTTTACAAAGTTTCAAGTAGTTACTTCTACTTCTAATTGATACTGACCAACTTCAACAAGTTGAAGACTATGTCAGAAGAGGAGTTGTAAGAAGGGACAAAAATTCATTATATACAATGAAAATATACATTTAAAAGAAAGGTAACTATTTTTAAGGAAGTGGCTTAAGACTGCAGTTTTAAAAGATTCTTTGGAGGAGGAGGTGACAACATCAGGTGGGAGTTGGTTCCATTCTGATATGGTTCCGGGAAAGAACGACTGTTTTCTTATTTGGGTTTTACAATGGGGTAGCTGAAATGACAGTGGATGATTGTGTCTAGAATGTTTGACTGGGGATATGAGTTGGTTTTATTTCGTAACTGCAACATTATCATTGACAATATTGAACAGCATGGGAAGACGTACTTCTCTACGTCTGTCATTATCTTGAATGGTGATGCATGGACACAATGATGGATGCACGTACATGTATGTGCAAATGGACAAATAAACAAACCCTGGTTCAATATCAGCTACAAATGTGTTTCAAGGGGGATATTAAGTTGAGTTAAAAATTATCAGACACCATTCAGAATTATTGGCCAATTACGATACATACAAAAACTTTCATTATATCAAACTATTAACTACAAGTAGAACCTTTACACCATGACAAGAACTTTATTGGAGTATTATACACACATTACACTCTGATATCCTTTTTCAAAATTTCCTTGCTTCCATTTTTGACAAAACACTAAGTAGCTATCTCCTGTTCTTGACAGCACAAACAAGCTATGTTGTATATCCTGTTTTGACACAGCACAATCTAGCTTTATCTTGTTTTTGACAGCACAAACAAGCTGTGTTCTATATCCTGTTTTGACACAGCACAATCTAGCTTTATCTTGTTTTGACACTGCACATACTACATGTAGCTACATCCTGTGTTTGACACAGCACAAACCAGCTACAATTTGTATATCCTGTTTTTGACACAGCACAAACTACATGTAGTTGTATCCTGTCTTTGACATAGCACAAACCAGCTACAATTTGTATATCCTGTTTTTGACACAGCACAAACTACATGTAGTTGTATCCTGTGTTTGACAGCACAAACTAGCTATGTTGTATATCCTGTTTTGACAGTACAAACTAGCTTTATCTTGTTTTGACACAGCACAAACTACATGTAGTTGTATCCTGTCTTTGACACAGCACAAACCAGCTACAATTTGTATATCTTGTTTTTGACACAAAAAATACTGTAGCTATATTTTGTTTTGACTAGGCACAATCTAACAACATCCTGTTTTAATTTGACACAGTAAAATATAGCTATATCAGGTTTTTGACATAGCACAAACTAGCTATATCCAGTTATTAACACAACACAAGCTAGCTATATCCAGTTCTTGACATTCATCATAATTTTTCTTCGATGTCCGCTTCAGCCATTGTAAAAGCATATGTAAACATCAACCAGTGTCTGAAGTTTGTTTTGCTAACTTAAAATGCAATATTTCTTCTCTTAGTCTGAAATGTAAAATAACAATACAAGCTCAGTTTGCTGAGCAAATTCTCTTGTGCAATAACATATTTTTTTTAGAGTTTTGTGGAGATGATCATGACTAAAAAAAGACAATATTTATCACCTTTATTATAGGCTTGAATTGACCATGTGATTTTAAAAGAATTGAGTGAGGTAACAGCATTTGCATAAAGCAGTGAGAAAGCCCATTTCTGGAATGAAGATTAACAATGATTTGAAAGAAAAATGAGGTCTGATATCATAGAGTTTTGTCATGCTGACTTTACACACATTGTTTGGTTGAGTCTGGGTGCACTGTTACTTTCACAAAGAAACACTGATAGATAAATATGACAAACCTTTTAATGGTGTCCTCACATTTCTCCCTTGCTTCTTGTTTAGTTAGCATAGCCATCTCAGTCATTGTGTACTGAAACAAACAGTAAAATTACATAAATGAGACAATTGTCTCACAATACCAGAAGATTAGACACATGTTGCCAAACTTAAGACAGTTTGCTACTAATAAGACACCTGACCCTTGACATTAGATACCTGTCCCTAAACACAAGACACATGCCTCCTAACAAAAGGAACCTATTATTTGTATCCTTTGCCAAATGCCTCTTAACATTAACATTTGTCCCTTGTCTTCATGACATGAGCCAAATGTCCTTGGCAATATACATCTATATTCTGGTATAAGACACATGTGTCTAGACATTAGACATACGTCTTTAAGCATTTAACATCTGTTCCATGGTATTGGACACCTATCTTCATGGCATGTGACATATGTCCTTCGCAATATACACCCATCATATCAGATACATGTGCCTTGACATAAGACACATGTATCCAGGCATCAGACACCTGTTTCTGAAATTCAAAAAATTTTTCTTAAGAATTATAACTTTTTTATTACTTACTTTTACTAAACTGGCCTGTCGTCTGAAGTAAAGATTTCCTTCTTCATCTTCGTGGTAAGGATGAAGATGAACAAGAGAGCCACATCCGTCATCATGATTACGTGGGTCAGAAGGATCCCAAGGTTTGATAGAAATTTCTATGACATAATCACCGGCAATGACACCCTGTTATGTAAAGAATTTTTCAAAATTATCCTTACAATATCCAGTAAACCACCATAACATTTACACAAAAATCTTAAAATAGAACTGGATCTAGTTCACTTTTGTAAAGTTTTCAGAATTACTCATCAGCAGTTCTTGATAAATGGCATTTACAAATTTCAAATACCCAAATCCAAAATGGCTGCAAGCAAACAATTAAGAAACATACTGAACATATTTGTACAATTAAAAAAATCCCTTTGTTTGTTTTTATAAAAAAAGGAACAGTAACTATTTATTGGACAGATAAATATTATATAACTGTTCCTGTTATCATCAAAAAGACAAAATTTACTGTTTTGCTGAGGAAGCTTACAGAATTATACTGGGCTGGCACATCGTTGTCACACCAACAGTGCATGTGAGATTTCAACTTACAGAATTATACTGGGCTGGCACATCGTTGTCACACCAACAGTGCATGTGAGATTTCAACTTACAGAATTATACTGGGCTCGCACATCGTTGTCACACCAACAGTGCATGTGAGATTTCAACTTACAGAATTATACTGGGCTCGCACATCGTTGTCACACCAACAATATCTGTATGACCTGAACTGGTGAGGACGCCGTCTCTCCTCTAATATACTCAAATCACTGCAAAGACATACAGAGGCACTGTTAATATAAATCACGAACATTTGGTTTAGTGATTCAGCTTTTCCAGTAGGAAATGATACAAGTCGAAATTGACTGCACGCCCCATTAAACCAAAAGGTAAAAGAAGATGATGAATATAAGATTCTGTTTGCTGCATAGCTAAAATACCTTTGCAAGTATTCCTTAAACTAGCATATTGTTAGACTGATGAAAAAAAAAAATTGGCAATATTCCAACTCGGTGTTGTTTTCTTTTGTGAACCTATTGAACCTGAACTCGATCACAGTTAACTTGGTGTTACCATACATACAGACATGAAATTTATTTTTACATTGATATCAGGGTAATTTTCATTTTTGTAGGTTTCAATTTTCAAGTGTTATTAGCACATATTAATGAATGTGTACCTGTTGGCTAGTGTGTGTTGTATTATTTCAGCCTCTGTAGCATCCTTATCCACCACCGGTACAAAACGGACCTTGTAACGATGCTGTTTGACTGGTGGGTTGTACCTGGCCATCAGGTCATCCAGACTGCCTACCACATGGTCCTTCTACAGAAAAGTATCAAACAACAGGCTTACAAAAATCAACACACCAGATTTAAGATTTATCATTTACAAAACAAATGAGGAATCCCACTCACAGAAAAGTTCAACATTATAAACATATAAAATTCCATTAGAGTTTTTAAATGGCATGGATTAGCTTTGGATAAAAATGCTGATTTATACCATATATCCCGTAAGTTTGAGTCCATGAACCACACCCTTGTCTGTTACTCCAAGGTAACATGTTCCACCAAGCCCTGTGTTAAGGTATGCATTCAGTGCCCTGGATCAAGAAAATAAACATGACATTCAAGTTTATGGTTATTTTAGCCAGTCGCTGTTGTGAACTAAAATGGTAGTAACTACACAATAATATCATATATGATGCATTGATTTAGAATCCAGCCCAATCAGTACTGCTTATACTTGTCCAATCAGCAAGAAAGAGAGCAGATTATTATTTCAGATTTAGAGACTACAGTTTTTTTTCCTTTTGTGTTTGGTAAGATTTAAATGGCTGCAAAGAGTGTAGATTCAGATCCCAGGTGACCATTACATGAACATAATCAATGGCTGGTCAAAAATCTGAATAACAAGAATTTCATGGAATTTCAAGGAAGAAGCACTTCTGATAAGGAAGCACTACATGAAGTTTGAGGAAGATCGGCCAAAGTGTACTAAAGTTATCATGAAAAAAACATTTCTTATTTATAAAACCGATGACCATGACCTTGACCTTTGAACCTGAAAAGCAATCCTAAGCAAGAACTATGTGTAAGGAAGCACTGTATGAAATTTGAGATTGATCAGCCAAAGGGAACTTCAATAATAAGTAATACCTACAAGTTGCCTTTGGCAAGCGACAAAAAAAATGGATATTACTTAGCTTGATATGCTGAAAAAGATCATGATTTGAATAGTGATTTACCTTGACACTGCACGTCTAGATGCTTTATCTGTATTACTCGTGCGTTCCTGTGTCCAAGGAGGTAAGTCTTCTACACTTATATCTCTATGACCTTTGAACTCATGAAAGGCATCCTCCTCACAAGGCATCAAAGATCCATTTTTGTAGTACAAATGCACTTTTGATTTTAAAGGAGAAAATTGTCCTTCTGCCATCTTTACTCCAACTTGAGGGTGCCCTTCAGATTTTATCAATGAAATCTTAATAAAGGCTGTTATGTAGTCTAAATTATTCTGATGTTATATTGACTTATCTATTTCGGTCTCAAGTTCATTTACTCCAGACTGATATAAAAAAATAGATTGAATAATTTGGACCAGCTGTTATTTAGTTACTATACAAATGCATGGTATGTGTGTTCAGTTTCTACTATAGATATAAATAGTTATCGTATAGAAATGATAGTGATATATCAACATATGTGTGGCGGAAGTCTCCAGACTAATAGGTACAATGGTAATAGTGAATATTCTTGATCAAATCACAGTTGTTTGAAATTCTCACTGAGAAATATATATTGTTTAAATAACATGGATTTCATTATTAAAAAAAGTGGTGAAGGCATCCTAATTCCACGATATGACACCGACATGTGATGATGGATAGATGGGATATTTTATGATACCTGGGAGGATGATTGACATGTAAAAATGTGTATTAAGAAATAGTAACCAAATTTACCGAAACAAATAATATTTTATGATGACTGGATTTAATCACACTTTTGATTTCTTTCAGGATGCGTCACATGTTACAGTTTCCCAAATCACCCATATTCTAGGTCACTTAGATTGATAGTTCGTGTAATATCTTTAAAGAACTGGTGCACCGAAATTTATAACCTACAGGGACCGTTGTTTACACGATATATCCACTGCTCGACTAACCCTGGGAAAGGGAAATTCACTCTTGGCAGAAACACTTAAAATCAAATTGATATTGCGCTCGCGCTTTTAAGCAGGACCCATTTAACATGAATGAAATATGCCTTCTAATAAAGTCTAGAAAAAAAAAGATGATCACTGCATTGGCCTTACCGCTGCTGTGCTTGTCATATTAAAAAATAAACCCCGGTTAACAACACTCTTTCACTTTCACTTCATTCCCGCGAGTTTACCTAAAGGTAAGTCTCCCAAGAAACGAAACGTATATGTGTTTTGGATACCGATATTCGAAAAGAAATAAATCGTACCTTACCGGAGAAAAAATGAATGAAGAAATCTCATTTTTTCAAAATAGTTTCCATTCACTTTGTTATATGATAATTTAGAAAAAACGAGTATACAGTTTAGATTTTACATACCGACTGTAACCCAATTCTGATAATTGCCTTTACTTCGTCCAATGAACTTCCGCTACAACTTCCGGATAAATATGACGGGCACGTTGGATAATGCGAATCCGACGGTTTACGAGGCAACCAAGGAAAGACAGGTCACCCCTGATGAAGAAAATGACGATGTAGTGGACAAGTTTGATGACAGAGAAGTTTTCGGTAATGAAATGTAAAATAACTTCAAAAAGACAGTGCTTGATCAATATATATATACAGCCTAAATCAGTTTGCCAGACTGACTGTTACTGGCAAAAAACTGCTTAGAGTAATTATGTGTCGTTAGGACATCGGTTCCGTAGCGTTATGTATCTCGGAACAGCTATTTTGTCGAGGCGCATAACATGCATTATTAAACTGCGTGACCCGGATAATTTGTGTATCTTTTCTTTACACACATTTTTACATGTCAAACATCCTCCTAGATATTATAAAATAACCCATGAATCCATCTTCAGTTGCCAGTGTTTTGTTCTCAGTCGAGTGAATAAAAATCGACCTGGAATAATAGTCCAAACATGCACGTCTTTTTTTTTTATTGGAAAAGTGATTTTTAGAAAAAATAGCTTTATTTAGATATTTTAATGTTATAAAAAAAACTTGAATCTAATCCTTCAGAAAAAGTACACACATCAACAGAGATATCCAACATTTTTGCACCATTATTTTATTTCAATTTTTCTGTCACCAAAATGTCATCTCCATTCAGATGATGACTTTATGAAATGATGACTTAATGTAATATATGTGTAATTCTGGGTCACTTTAACCTATCTAGGAAATTTAGTTATGTCATAAGAAATCAAAATGCACCCATATGTCCAATACACATGTCAGTCATTTCATGTAAACAAAGTTGAGGTCAGATCTGTGGTTATTTTAGAAAAAGTACGGGTTTTTATTGATCATTTTAAAAATAAATCTTAAACATTTGAACTAACTAATTAATAAATGTATTTGTTGGAGGCAAGTCGTTGACATAGCGTATCTAGCAAGAAATGGTTCTTAAGGGGTCCGAAACTAATGTTCCAATGATAATACATTTGCTACTAGAATGCTGGATAACTTAAAAAGAAATACATGAAAAAAGATACATGGTTCAATAACCATTGCAACATTGTATATTTTTAATTTTACTCAAGTAAATAATTGTTTTATTTGTGTGTGTTTTTTTTTTTTTTTGTAAAAGTCATTGCATGTACTGTGGCTAAAAGCACAGGTTTTTACATTTGCACTAAATGCTCTTGTTAGCTATACACTGTCGTCATAATGTAAATTGTCAGGAAGTTAAATACAGGAATGAATTGTTCTTATGCAAATATATGCATTTTCACATTGGTTAAGTAATCCATTTCCTTGTAGATTTGATCAGAAATATTAATGATCCTGAACATCCGCTGACATTGGAGGAGCTGAATGTTGTGGAGAATTCTAAAGTGCAGGTAAGAAAACTTTACATTTCTTTCTTGTGCGATGTGAAGATATATGTGATTAATGCTTGTTTGTATTGCTCATGGTTCTGCCGTTGTTTAGCTTGTTCTCATTTTAGAATGTGACATGGCTTACTTTGATGGGCCAGAATGTACATTATTCCTGGTCTTATCTTATTTTCCTTGCTCTTTTAGAGGAATCTTTCATGTAAATCTTTCTTAAGTCTTTAATTTGCCTTAGTTTGATTAAATTTGAGTATGAGAAATGATTTTGTTGGCATTTTTCCTTAGTTGTTTATATGTATGAAACAGCAAGAGAGATACTGCTAATTGGATTGATTAAGTTAACATCACTGTATCAACAAATAATTACCGGGCTAGCATCCAGCTGGCTTTTAAAATAACAAAAACATTTAACGATCACCAGCAACAATTTTTTGCAGGTCTTTATAATTTGATATAGATATCACCTGGGTAGTACCCTGACGAGATTTTCACATCTTGATATGGTTGTAGCCAAGTGTGTTTGGCTACAGGTGAGTTTGTTTACCTGTTCACATTTTCAGCTATTATTTCGGTAGCTTTCAGGAATCTTTGACACCAATGACGTCATTTCTGTCAATCAATGGTAGTGACTGGTGTTAACGCAGTGGAAGTCTCATTTAATATTGTAGTTTTATGATCAGTTCTATTTCAGCAGTGATGGTATTCTGTGTTGGGATGTGATAAAACTGGTGATTAATCATAGATGTTTATGTGAACGTCTTAAATTCAAAATTATCTGGAAAAAATGCTAAAATTAACAGCTGAGATGAACAACAAGTAGCAAATCAATCAGGCAAACTCTTTAATGTCTGTCCAATGTGTTCATTGGAAGTCACATATTGATTTTAGCAAGTGATCACACCCTTTCATGTCATATATATCAATGTGTGAATACTTGGACACAAGAGTTTCTAAATATATACAATAAATATGTTGGTTTTACTCTTAATACTGGACAATGCGATAAATAAAACTGGCAAATAAATGTAGCTTGGTGATTTTTTGGTGACATAAAACATCATCAATTATTTTGACATATCATATGAAAATATAAGCTGAGAGTTCATTCCTTTATGTGGTACAGATAAAACTTATTGTCTTATCCAGGTGAATTCACAGCCCAATTAACTGAATAACAAATAATGTTCAGTCAAGACCAGTAATCCCCTGTGTCTGGTGAAGCGGGTTTGTACTTGGGTAGCCCAGAGCATTTCGGAGTAACAGAGATGAATGATGTGATGATAATTGCATTTAAAAACACTTCATGTTTAGGTTAAAATGACTTTATTTCTGAAATAAAATATGGAAAAAAAAAAGCGAAAAAATGGTTACCATTACTGAAGTGTGTACAGGTTGAAAATTGCAAAACAAACAAAATTATATAGAGTGACATTGTCTTCAGCTTCAACATATCAATTTTGCCAGCATCGGCCAAACCACAATACAAGTAATTGCCGAAGTCATTATTACTGGACATTATTTAGTTACTTTATGGCTCAAACTGTTATGATCTAATAACAAAGTCTACCTCTTCGTTGTTTTATGGTGCTGGACATGCTAATTTCATGTACCTAGTACACAGCCATTCATAAACACAACTAATGAAAATGTGTCTGGTCACAAATGATTGACCAATGAGAATTCTTGTTTTCAGACCAGATTTTTAAACTTCCTCTGATGTTTACAGGTAGAAATTTATACATTGTGCAATACACCAATCACTTTCTTAAGAATATATCGCTTGATTTTTCTTGTAAAATTAACTTTTTATTTTCATTGCCCTTGACCGTTAACCTTTTCATTACAAAACACAAAATGTCAGATATAGAGGCAGTGGAACTTTAAAAATGGTTTACATGTTCTTTTTTTAAAAATTTTTTTTTTGTATAAAACAGTCAAAAACAGTCAACAGATACAATAGTTAGTTTGTAAGATGGTGTGCACATGTAGTAAAATAATCATGGATTTTACTAACATCACTTTATAAATAGGAATAGCATTTATAGGAGATGTTCTTGAATTAGGTCAGCTAAGTATGTGTAAGAAGTTATGTTTGTTATAGACTAACTTCTGGTATTGCCTTCAGTATACTGGTAACATGGTGGTTTTTGTATTTATGAATGTTATTATTGGTAATTAAAAATGGTGGAATGTATATCAAGGGACATATAATACAGATATCTGTATTATACATCCCAGGTATATCTAAAAAATAAATGATGGAATGAACAAAGAGAAAATAAACAACATTGAATGTGCTGAGAACTGTATATGGTTAGTAAGAACATAAATACTTTTATTTGATAGATTTGAAAACCTTACAGTTAGTCACTCACATCATCTAAACGAAAATCATTGAAGCATGTCCATTCGCATCCTCTAAAAAACCATTGAAGCATGTTATTTGTGATGTTACAGGAAGTGAGTGATCACATTTTGACAGTAGACAGTTTAGAGGAGCGGATGTAAAGATTAACTGTTGTGTTGAATCTAACTGTCAGTGTCACTTGTATATTTGTAGGTCGATGATGAAAGCAGCCAAGTAAAGGTTGAGTTTACCCCTACTATTCCACATTGTAGTATGGCAACACTGATTGGTCTGTCTATAAGGGTCAAACTTCTCCGTGCCTTACCTACTCGATTCAAGGTAAATATATACAAGCAGTTCTCTAAATTCTGCAATGAATTTCAATGTTTTTCACATGTTTACCAAATATTAAGGCAATTACTTTTCTACTCAGCCTCTTGATCATAATTGGGCAAAAGTTGAATACTATTTCAAAATAACGAAGAGTGAATAGTTGTAATTACAAACATAGATATGATGGCCTTCTAGCTTTCCACTTGTAAGCACATAAACACCTGAACTCTGATGTTCAATCAGACACTTCTCAAATTGTCCAGGAAATATACAAGTACATTTTGAATTCACCATAAATATCTTGAAGACATTGAATCATGTGTAATCCATCGTTGTGGGTATCTGCTAACGCTAACATTTTGAACTTCTTCTCAAGTTCCACTGGTGGGATTTAGCTAAATCATGCCTGAAATAATCTTGAGATGGTCCTGACCAAGTGGTGCTATTTTTCTGTCTGTCAAAAACCTGACATGGCTGCCATTTTGAAAAACACATTTTAAAACTTCTGATTCAAGCGCCACTAGTGCCATGGAGCTGAAAATTGGTGGGGATGTTAAAGAAGGGAAACCAACAAGCTGTCAAAAGTTCAATTTGGCAGCCATGGAAGCCATTTTGAAACCTGATTCACAGCCATTGTTTCCCTGAATAAACTTTCCATTGAGACAACTTTCTCTCAAAAATCTAAAGGGCCTGTAGCATGCTTGAATGAAGGGCTAACATTTTTTATGAAACAATGTATTGCACTGTCAGGCAACATGATGGAGAAATCTGATTAGCTGAAATTATGAGAGAACACTCACATGTGCGTGCAATATGATATATCACTGTAGCAGAGTGCAATTTGATGTTAAATGGATTAAAAACAACAAGAAGATAGCAACCTAACTAACGAGCATCAAACACATTGCACAAATAAACAGAATGTTTCTCAATGAGATCATTAAAGACCATATTACTTAAACAACCTGCATCATGTGATCGGGTGTAGACCAATCAGCATCTGTTACCAAACTGAAAATGTAATAAAGGTCTTCACAGATGATTCTTAAGGTCTAAGGGCCTCTTATCAAGTATAAGGTCAATAAGATTGCTGTCTTCAGTGTCGTGTAAAGGGTAGTACTTGTGATGTTTTACTATGGCAACCAGTCTCATATTAAGCTCAGTCAATAAAAGAAAAGTCTGTATTACAACATTTCTACACTTCTAGAATACATGGTTTGACTTGTTATATACACTGTATTTTACTATAGGATATATGGGTGAAGTGACATGAAAAAATTATGATCAGAACTTGTATGTGTATGTCATGAAATGGACACAAATTTAATTTAGACAGTCTTTTATATCCTTCATGGAAAAAAATTCAACTGATATAAATCTAAATTGGCTATATCTCATTGATTCAATGATTCTTCAACACCACAATTTGAACTTTCAACCAATCAAAGCTCTGCTAGGTCACATTACATTTGTGTCATATATCACCAGAAGATAATATATGTTATTTCAGTGACAACAAGGTAGTTATTTGATAATGGGTGTTATTACACTGGTAACAGGGTAGTGATGTAATGGGTGTTATAAACTGGTAACAGGGTAGTGATGTAATGGGTGTTATTACACTGGTAACAGGGTAGTGATGTAATGGGTGTTATAAACTGGTAACAGGGTAGTGATGTAATGGGTGTTATTACACTGGTAACAGGGTAGTGATGTAATGGGTGTTATAAACTGGTAACAGGGTAGTGATGTAATGGGTGTTATAAACTGGTAACAGGGTAGTGATGTAATGGGTGTTATTACACTGATAATAGGGTAGTGATGTGATGGGTGTTATTGCACTGATAATAGGGTAGTGATGTAATGGGTGTTATTGCACTGATAATAGGGTAGTGATGTAATGGGTGTTATTGCACTGATAATAGGGTAGTGATGTAATGGGTGTTATAAACTGGTAACAGGGTAGTGATGTAATGGGTGTTATTACACTGATAATAGGGTAGTGATGTAATGGGTGTTATTGCACTGATAATAGGGTAGTGATGTAATGGGTGTTATAAACTGGTAACAGGGTAGTGATGTAATGGGTGTTATTACACTGATAATAGGGTATTGATGTAATGGGTGTTATAAACTGGTAACAGGGTAGTGATGTAATGGGTGTTATACATTGATAACAAGGTAGTTATGTAATAATGGGTGTTGTTACACTGTTAACGGGGTAATGATGTAATGGATGTTCTTACACTGATAACATGGAGTAGATGTGGTGAATCTGGTGTAACATTCATTTTGGTTATAATAATGTTGTTATTTTCTGTAGGTTGATGTTACCATTACTCCAGGGAGTCATGCATCAGAAGAGGCAGGTGAGATCTTCTTCCCCAAATAACTTTACCTATTAGTATATATAGGTTACTCACATAAAGAGAAGATATCTTTATCTATTGGGAAGTGGGAGCATATGTTGTTATCAATGTTTGTCCTGTGGTGCTTTGACCTGACCTGAATCAATGTCTTATCTTCAGAGTCTCTGAACAGATTTGCTCCATATGTACCTTAATTATGACATTCAGTTTACATTAGAGGAGATGTCTTATAGATATTTTCTAGTCAGATAAGAATATTTGGAAATCAAAAAATGTGAAAAAGTGTTCTGTCATTCTGATAATTACAGGATTGTAAACAAAACCAATAACTCATTGTAAAGTTGTTTGATTTTTTTGCAGTAAACAAGCAGCTTGCTGATAAAGAGAGAGTGACAGCAGCCTTAGAGAATAGTCACCTCTTAGAAGTGGTCAACCAGTGTTTGGCCACCAAGAGAGGTTGACCAACTGGACATGATCCCAACATTACAGAGCTGCACAGTTGGACTTTAATAGTTGTGAAAGACATCCATAATTTCACTTGTTTTCTTAATGAGATTAAGATCTCAATTGTGACTTTAACCTGCAAGTAGAACACTCAATAATCAGGTACAATAAAGGATTACCTTACTGGCATGAGATGACAAAGAACTGCCAAGTAAGAAAAGTGGTACACTTTGCTTATCTATAGGAAATCAAGCATTGATTGATCTTATGCATGATACCAGTCGTTTTGAAATGAGAGAAAGTTACAGTACATCCAGTAACACTAAAGAATACTTTAATGTTGGAGTAACACTTGGTATTAGATATTTGTTTTATAAGAGAATGAACAGGTAGGACACTCTACTGAATGAGTTAAAGGGACATTTATATTATTGGTAGGTATCAGGTTTATCTTACCCAGGTATGACACTCCTTCTTCAGTAAAGAACTTGCCCTATCTTTACCAGGGTTACGGAAATGCTTATAGAATTTTTTTTTTTTTTTTTTTAACTTTTTTTTAGTCCTTAACCAGGAGCCTTGATTTCCTTTGCCTCTAAAAGAGAACCAATTGAAAAGACCCTTACTTTCTGTAAAATCATTTTTTGTGGGTCTGAATTTCTTGGTTTTTTTTTAAAAATATGTATGTTTTTGTAGGCAATTTGTGAGTAAATCTTAATCACAAAATTAACCTGTACTATAATAAAAGTTAACTTTTATGTGTTTATCACATTGTGGACATTTCGTAGGTTAAGAACACCCACATTTACAGTCCTCGCTGAATGCTAAAAAGAATTTTTCGGTCGTTGAGTTGATTAGTAGCAGGTAGTGTCTTGTCATGCTTGTCATGCTGACAAGTGCTTTGTCATTGCATATTCCAGCTGAACCAGCTGGTCACTGTCTGATAGATCTTCTCCTTAATAAGTTACAAATTGTCTTACAAATCTGTGATAACATTGCTCAAAGGCTGTATGTGCACACACCCATTCCTCCCTCCTCCCCCCCCCCCACCCCCGCCCCACACACATGCACACACCCATCTCTGCCCCCTCCCCACACACACCATCCCCAGCCTCTCCCTACACACACACGCACACACCCATCCCCCTCCCCCCACACCCCTCCTCCACACACATATCCCTGCCCCCTCCCCACACACACCATCCCCGACCCCTCCCCCCACACACCCCCATGCAATGTGTGTAATGGGAATTCATGTGCTCAGAGTAATGTGTATGTGTAGATATCAATATATTAAATGTTTCACGATATTGAATTAGTTTTTGTGTCATGCAAAACTGAAAATGCTTTTTATGTAAATAAAACAACAATTTACAAGCCTTAATGTTGTTTCATAAAATATGACCTATTTGAACAAAATGAATCTGTGCATAAAGGTGCAGTATGTACATTTGTATCTTACATAAGTGTTTTGTAAAATGTTCTGATGAATTTGGCTCGAAATTACTTTTTATGCACCATCATAACAGAATGCCTTGTATTTAGACTTGACGTATAATGCAGCTTCTGGAACTAAATCTTATGACCAATCCTAACTTTCTGATTGGTGGAAAAAATTGAATGAGTTCACCAGATGTAGACAAAAATTTTCTTGGATTCCCAACAGCTTACATGTATACACATCTGAGTGTATTACATATGAAAGCAGAGTTAGAACATGATACAAAGTTTCAGTTACATGTATGGAAAGATACCCGAGTTAGGATTTCACTCTAACAATATCAACAGCTTTTTAACTGGCAAACATGTATACGGTTTACACAAATAACATGGGTTATCGTGAAGTGTCTTCAGACACTATTGCCTGAAATACCCAAAAGATGTCAAGACATCAAACGATATATTGTTGATATGATCATAACACATCCTTTTACAAAGATTTGTGTTGATACATGTAAAGACAGTTGAACTATGAAGAGAAAAATAATACCCAGTTGCCAACATACATATACCTACCTGGTAACCGAGCCTAGGACACGTGAACAGTGTTTATTTATTTTTATTTATTTTAACGGCTTTTACGTCCACTAATACAACTTTTTGGTCTTTCAGCGGACGAGAACAGATAGGAGAAAGAGTAGGAGGGGAAAAGTAGAATTGATGGGAGAGAGATGGATAGAGATGAGATAGAGAATCATTTGTTGTTAGTATTTTATACTCCGATATAGCCGAATTCATCACGTGACTTTTCGGAGCCTCGTTTTAGCCTGCCGTTTTGATATGATTTCTTACTATGTGTAATTATGTGACTAGTGACTAGCCAAAATTTAATTTGCCAGTCATGTTTCCATTTTAACTTTGTAAAATGACCTCTTGTTTCCCGCTATACACATGACAGAGCAAAATAAATGAATTTGAATTAGTCTGAATCTGAAGTCGCACATGCTTAGTCATTGTTTACACTCTCCGAACGATAATGATATGGATGATTGTTGTTTTTTCTGTTTAATTTTGACGTTGTTAATAAAATAGTTATGCAAACTTTAAAATATTATAATTACCAGAAAGTACACACTTTTTAAACAGACATTTAAATGTTATGATTTTTTTATCAGTTGTTGAATGAATATCTAACCATTTAGTCATTTACAACAGAGACGTATATATACGTCTCTGTTTACAAGAAAGAATTCATTCCAGTGTTGTTTTTAACACATATGCATCTAGGATAGATCAATGTCAAGTCCAGGATATTTTTCATTATTCCTCATCAGATAATATGCTTAAATTGTCCCTTAACTTATTTTATCGCTACAATCGGAGTTATATACGTGCGCCATAGTGAAGTTTCGGTGGATCGGCGTTTGTCACTTATGACGTCAAAGCGGTTTCGAATTCAAGGGCGATAACTCATGCAATACTCTTTGATGCGATTTCGACCGAGCATTTATTATTTCACCATTTTAAGATAAACGACACATATATAATATTTGCAAGTTATAAATATATTAAATTTAATAATCGGGGAACGTCATAAATAAGGAAATTTACAAAAACAAAAGCGCATTTCGTTCACATTTAAAGAGTATATTGAGAGCCATTGTTCAATAAAAAATAAATAGCCAAAGCCTATTTAGAATTTGATAAAAAAAATCCCTTTATTAGTGATGATTTTAACTTTGCCAATTCCAGTGTTTATCACTGTTAATTTCCACATCGGTAGTCTTGTTATCATCAACTGGTTAATAAATCTTTTTTTTCATATTCATGCCGCATTTAGATTGAAAGTCCGTCAGGCCTGTAAATCTCATTTATCTATTAGATAATAAACTCTTACTTTTTACTGTTAGTGGGCACAGAACGTCATGCGAGCATGCATAGTAGTAGGTTCACTTTATCTTTATAGTTTAATCAAATAAAATTAATGAGCAATCCGTCATGAAAAATGATAGTTTTAACAGACGTGGACTTCAGTAGACCACTATGAATTTGGATTCCCCAATGTACACAAATTTGAAATAACGGGAGTTGTCAGACCTCTCCCCAAAACCTTGTGTGTCTTCCCCGTCGATCTAGCGTCTCTAATTCTGCGTGGCATGGAGATCAAAAGGACATTGACGTGTTAAACAATGGGAAATACCTCCCCATACTATAACCGATCTACCCCAAACTCTGTCGTGCTCCAAAACACAAGCGTCTGCAAGACGCTTTCCTCGACGCCGGTACACACATCGACGGCTACATGATCGAAATAACTTGAATCGAGATTCATCTGTGAAGATCATGGACCTTCTACGTCTGGGCACATGCGCCGTCAACCATCGCATAGGACGTGCTCGATGTTGAGGTGTCGGCAACAGACCAACGTACTGACGACGTGGGCGGAAATTTGCCTCTCGCTTTCTATTTCTCACAGATTTTGGGGTGGATTTGACGGTTTCCATTACCTATACGGATGACTTCTTTAATATTTATTGAGGGATTAGGTAAAATGCCTTGATATTCCTCTTACTTTTTATGTCTATATATTTACATTCTGATATTTATTTCTCTTAATGAATCTACCAACTAAAAATGACAAACATTAGACACCGAAAACACGATAAATACAGCCATACACGTGAAACGATCAGCTGATCTCGCATACAAGATAATCCGCTATATGAATACGCCAACAACTTTTTTATAGAAAGAGTAAGCTCCCTTTGTGAAACATCACCAAAAGTGATTAAATCTAACCCTCCGTTAAGAAGTAAATAACATTAAATGTCCAAATAACCATCGATCTAGAACTAGGAAGTCGTCCTACTTTTAAATATCTCGCATTGCAAAGTAAAATATAAACATAACCACTTTTGTGATTTTATTCTCTACGGGACAGTAAGAACGTTAACTAAACTTGAAAAAAGTGGTCCCGAATAGGTTGGTGCAAAGTTTACCATTAAAAGTTGTCAAAGTCTACAATAGGAAGTGAAAAGGAAGCAAAGCTGTAGCGTATTAGATTGTCATTTACCTAACCAACGGAGAAATCAACCGGATGTTCACTTACACCACAATCGGCAATAATTGACCTAACACCAGTGTACCTGGCAGCTAGGCTTGTTATGGATTTGTAGCGTTGCTGAAACAGACCATCTGTATCTGTATTGTTACGTCATATAGATTCCAAACTGGACTATGATATGACTTTGATAATATTTTGGACATGGGATATTTGATTTTTAGACAAACTGTTTTAAGAAGAGGATAAGATCTTGATGAGTTCTGGATATGCAAAGTTTTTTTCGGTACAAAAACACGCATTTTCGTCGTATGATACTTGAGACACGCTGTATATCTTTACTCTATGGCTAAATATTTGTAATAACTAGAAAAATGTGTCCGATATCTTTTAATCTAAATCATTTTGACACAAGGCAGATCATAAATACTCATTTCAAAGATGAGTTCGGTCAGGCCAACCATGACCGGATTAAACTGGTATATGTCAGGTAGGGGCGTTGTGCTGCTATGGTAACATGTGTTTAAAAAAGATAGTTCCGGCATCTCATTGTTCCTTTTCTTTCATGTTTTGTTCCATCCTCATGTCATAAACATGATTTGTCACGGAATAGTGTGTCTATGTACATCGACACGTGTTAGAATTCCCCATTTAAAGTTAAGAAAAAAATACATCTGCATGTTGTGGATGGAATATTTTAAAATTCGTGTCATTTTGCATCGGCTAGATCATCCAGCTGTTAAGTTAATCCAGCTTTCCTTTAAATATATATTTTTTTCTTTATTAAAATATATCAGATGATTTTTTTTCATATTCATATTTGTTTTCCAAGGTTGATGGAACGCACCATGGCATAGCCACTGCTATTCATTGAAGGAGTTGCGTTTCTTTATCCTTTCATCGTATTTCATTGATAGAAGTTATGCAAGCAATATTTTGGGGAATAGCGAATCTGAAGCAGTGAATAACGATTAAGCATCGGATTGGAGGTTTGAAACATAAATCCGGATTTGAATTTGATCACCTGGCCGAATTTCTCGTTCCGAAATTTTCATTTTACATGGCCGAACACGCATTTTTTACACGTTCATGCCTCACTTGTATAAAACATCTCAACTTGAGATTTCCTCAAGTCAAGATTTTCCTCAGCAGATATCCCTCAAAAACGGCATGTATAACATTTTCTCAAGGAACAGGAGGAAGGCATCGGCTAGGATGTCCTGAAATTCCTTGAGGAATTTTCATACAAGATATTTTCAAGGAGATATCAGCTGAGGAAAATCTCGACTTGAGGAAATCTCAAGTTGAGATGTTTTATACAAGTGGGGCCTGGACATACAACCCCTTAATTACAGCATTATTTTCTTTTGTTAAAATTTTGTGTCGAATACAGTCGATTTCGGGAAACTTTCATCAGTTTTACTAATACTTTCGTGTGTAGTATATATATACCTCTGATTCTATGGCCTTCTGGTTAATTATCGATTTGTGTGTACTGCCTCCTGAAGAGTATTTTCTTGTCAGCCATTTCATAGTTCTATACGAGGAGATTTGATGTTGCAACGCCTTATCGAGTAAATGACATATTTTGTTTTCCTGCGTGGTTTTGTTGGATTTTTATGATTAAAAATTATTCAATAAAGCAGTTAGAAATAAAAGATTACAAACGACATATTTGTGTGGGATGATATTTTATTTCATTATCATGGCAGATGGTGGAAAGGTTATATAAACAATGATCGATCCCTGATGTGAAGTGAATGACGTCATCAAAGGTATATATATATTATATATATATATTTATATATATATATACATGCTTCTAGATTTATTTCCTTTCATTGTCGTTTGAGCTGTGGAGTGTGTCCTTTTGTTAACATAAATATAACTTACATATATTGGGTAAGTACATAATTTCTGACTACGATAGCAGTGAAATATTGTGTGATTTTACTGAATTCTTGTTTAAACGCGTTTACATACTTTATAGAAAAAAATTGAATGTTACATACAATATATGTTTACTGTAAGTTAGTATATGTTCACTGTAACATTGTATATGTTCACTGTAACATTGTCTATATTCACTGTAACATTGTATATGTTTACTGTAACATTATGTCCACTGTAACATTGTATATGTTCACTGTAACACTGTATATGTTCACTGTAACATTGTATATGTTCACTGTAATGTATATGTTCATTGTAAGTTAGTATCTGTTCTCTGTAACATTGTATATGTTCACTGTAACATTGTCTATATTCACTGTAACATTGTATATGTTTACTGTAACATTGTATATGTTCACTGTAACATTGTATATATTCACTGTAACATTGTCTATGTTCACTGTAACATTGTCTATGTTCACTTTAACATTGTATATATTCACTGTAACATTGTCTATGTTCACTGTAAGTTTGTATATGTTCACTGTAACATTGTATATATTCACTGTAACATTGTATATATTCACTGTAACATTGTATATGTTCACTGTAACATTGTATATATTCACTGTAACATTGTATATATTCACTGTAACATTGTATATGTTCACTGTAACATTGTATATATTCACTGTAACATTGTATATATTCACTGTAACATTGTATATATTCACTGTAACATTGTATATGTTCACTGTAACATTGTCCATATATGTTCACTAATAGTTATACATTATTATCATTCATTATTGAGGAAACAATTTCCCTCTATCGCCTCCTTATTTTCAACAAGCCATGCGTTAGAAGGACGAAACATCAGCATGGTACAGTTTGTGATTTTGTTTTACTGTACTCCTAAAGGATATTGAAAGGGACTTTTTTAATTTGTAACAAATAATCCTTTTATGATATTTTATTTAGAGAATCATACAGTACAATAAAAACGCAATTTACACTCTTCCTTTTATATACATTCATATAAGGTATTTGCATGTTTTTACGGATCGACATATAGTTACATATTGATAAAGAAAAAAATTACTTTAAATTAAGTGCAGGTAATAGGTTTTACTCGTGTGTCTTTCTTCAATTATCTACATAACAACGAGTTGTATTGATATGTTATATAAAGCTTTATAATGTAGTTAATTGTCATTCGTCATTCTCATTATTTTTCATTGAACGAAACTGTACAGCAACCGTAAAACAGTGCAACTTGAACAAACACATGCGTAAAAATCTCTATTTCTACTACAGGACTTCAAACACATGCATCCTTTTACACGTTTTATTTCTTTCGATAGAACATATTAGGGGTGGGGGTAGGGGGTAAGGGGCTTCAGTATTTGTAAACTTCGGCATCAACAGCAATGATTTTACAATGCTTTGTTTTTATTTTATTTCTATAGCTTTTCGACAACAGAGAAGAAATGGTTGAACGAGAGCAGAATACCCTCATTCGGGAAATTTTATTCAGGATCCAAGAGATGAATCAAGAAGAACGCAACCTTCTTATATCCAGCCTTAACTTGACTAGTGAGGACCAACTTCTCAACTTTTTCAGCGATCCCATAATACCACTAGAAGAATTTACAGCCTTCCGTGTTCACAAGTATTTACTTCTCTATGTCCCGCCAGTTATGATCTTCATTGGTACCATCGGCAACATCTTGTCCTTGGCAGTCTTTCGTGCTTACAGTGGCAAAGTATCAACATATACCTACTTGGGGGCGCTGGCTATCATGGATTTTCTTGTAATCTACATAGGCTTGTTGCGGCTTTGGATTGCTCAGTTATCTGACTTTGATATTAAGGACCAAAGTAACTGGACTTGTAAGATGGTAAATTTCCTGGGTTATGTGTGCAGCGATTCGTCCGTATGGATCATAGTAGCAGTTACAGTAGAACGGTACATCGCAGTTTGCTATCCTCTAAAGGCCTCTAATCAGTGTCGAATCAGAAAAGCAAGATTTGTAATTTTTGTGCAAATCTTAGGACTTTGTATAATAAATTTACATTTTCTTTGGACATTAGAGTTAAATGTTGTCATATCAGACTCGACGGAACAAGTCTGCGATGCCAATCCTAGGTTTTCAAAGTTAGTCAACACGATATGGCCCTGGATTGACGCTGGGATATATTCATTTTTACCGATCTCCATTTTATCGGTTCTCAATGGATTCATCATTCAAAAAGTTTACATTGCTAAAAAAAACAGAAAACAACTGCTTACTACGAACATGAACACATGTCGAAGAAGCAAAGAAAGTTTTTCAAGTGGTGAATATCAGACAGAGATAGCAAGCAAGAGACTTACAGCGATGCTTCTGATGGTATCCTTTACATTTTTTCTAACGACTCTTCCGATGAATATCATTCTCATCATGACTAAGTCATGGAATGAACAGACCCAGCAGCAAAAAGCAGCGTTTTACCTGGCAAAGACAGTATCAGAATTGTTAATGTATCTGAATCATACAATCAATTTCTTCCTTTATTGTATTTCCGGTCGGAAATTTCGGCGTCAAATGTGTTCTCTTTTGTCGCGTTGTTTTGTTAGAAATCAAAATTATGATACTACTGCAACAGAAGTGAGAAGTATGACCAGATCTAAAAGTAGCCTTTCGAACTTAGAACGATTTGTATAACGTCACATCTTTCCAGAAAAAAACGTACAAGAGTTATTTTTACTTGGTTCGGCATAAAGTTCTGTCCGGTAAGTCTGGTTGCGTGTCCTTTCTATAGTGAATTTCGCACACTGATATGATATCTGACATCTATAAATGAATGACATTTTTTGTTACACTGCCAAATAACTTTAAATTTTCGACAAGCATGACTATATACGAGTGTTCCGCTCCGGTATTTAGTATCGCCTTTTGGAATTGGTATATTTTTATCAGCTTTCCTCGCCACTTGCAGGTGTTGTCTGCAAACGAACAAGTGCCTATTGTCCAACGTCTGGGACGTTCTATTCCACATAAGACGGTAACTGCAATGAATTAGTATCTAGGATGTCTTAAAAGTCATCCATGCTAAAGAGAAAAATTCACAATAGGGACATTCAAATCGACACGCAAAGAGTTTAGTGGAAAGCTGTCCATTTTCGTCTTGGGTGCGGTCGAAAGTGAAAATTTTCAGCTATATGAAAACACGTGATTTTAGCGACTCCTGCATGGGCATTCACGTAATGTTTAATATGATTTACATCATTGATATATCAATATCAATGGAAAGATAAACATGTTTTCTGTTAACTTGCATATGTGTCAGGACAAATAAATGTTGTAGACTGACTCTTTACCCTTACTTCACTTCCAGGCATATTTCGCATTGGCCGCCATTATGGCATCCTCCCTAGACTGGTCCCAAAATAATACCTTTCACAAGATGGACGACAATAGTGGGTTAACAAGGAAAATACACATGGATTCTGTAGTGACATTGTAAAATATACTGGAAACTGTAAGGCATCATCTCGTGTGGCTCTATCGCGGGTGTAATGTGTATTGTTACTTATGATAGATATTGCTGATTTACTGATCATCTGACATTTATCTATTGGGATCAATTGTTTGCGACACTGAAGAATGTACAGGGTTGATGCGGAGTTTTGAGGAAGCGGTATAGTTCTGTTTATTTCCCGGTGTTTTCTCTCCTTTGAAAGTTTTAGCGCTATTAACACTATTATCTTCAGTGATTATTCTTCTATTCCGAGACAGATTTTTGTGTTCAGACATTCATTAATTTATGCTATTGTTGTTATGTTTTTGAGTAACATTGATGTTATTTTAAGTATCTAATAAAGATGTTGAAATAAAAATAGAATGGCTTGTTCTTAGATTTGATATGACTTTATATAATCACTAATGCGACATAATTATATGATTATTAATCCAATAAAAAAAAAATAGGTCAACACATTTATCGACCCCAGAGAAGTAATGTCAACCAAGTTTTTTTTCACCTAAAAGGTACAATGGAATGTTGCCCACGCACCAAATTAAATAAAAGTGGATGGTATTTGTAGTACTCTGAGTGACTACCAATGAAATAGGATTACAAAGTTAAAAAGGTCCTTAAGGCCTGTTCTACGACCCATTTAGTTTCGTAATCATAGAAGTATGACAGGGTTCAGTTTTTCATCTGAAAAAGTATAAAAACCACAGCGTACATTACCAAATGATATACGTTTTGATTAACAAGCATCAGTTTGACAACATAGTGGTAAATATGTGTCAAAATACAATTTTCAAAGAATTAAAGCATGTACTTTCAGTTCGAGTGCACCAAAACTCTTTATATGCTATTTGGCCATTTATGTAAAGAATATTTGGTGAAATTTTCAGTAAAATCGAGAACCGATAAAGGTGTCATTTAAAAGCAAAAACCAAATTTTGTTGGGGTTCGACAGGGGTCCGTGTTTTCATCAAAAATCTGTTAAAACAATGGTATACATAGTCATAGGATAGCAGTTTTGAATATGTAAATTCTGCTGCAAGTTTCCATGTAAATAATGTCATTAGTTTCTCAAATAAGAAAAGTTTTTTTGAAAGAAAAAAATCTTTTTCTGTTTTCAGAGCATCAAATATTTTATCAAACTGTTTGGGTCATTATCTGAAGTGTATATAATGTGAAAATCGCAGGGAAAATGAGAACCAGTAAAATTGCCTTTTTTAAAAAGGCTCGAGCAAAATTACTATAAACTTCTAGTATTTTTCGCCATATGTAGATACATGAAAATAACCTACAACCGCATAAATGATTAATCATTATAACTATTTATAGTCTTACTGGTCCTTCTTGTATAACACCACGTTGAGTGACAAAGTTACCCTTGCATAATGACAAATACTTGCTACATGAGAATTTTAAATAAAAACTATTTATATACCTAAAATAAAAATACCAGCCTAAAGTGCATAAAATTCTGTTATTTTGATACCACATATGTTATATTGGCATAAAAAATGTAAGCATATTGATAACTTTTATTTAAAGCAAAATTTTTACAAAATAAAGAATATATCAAAGTTTGTCAAGTTCATTTTGTATAGTTGCAATCTCAGTCTATATTTCATGCTGTCTATTGAATGAATTTTAAGTGATTTCAAAACCGGCAAAATAGACATGTAGCAATTTAAACAGGCTTTTTGCTTAATTTGCCATAATCATGAAGATTTAATTTTCGTTGTTTTTTGTGCCAAATACTGCTATATTTTCCAGTTTTGTGTAGTACCAAAACACAATGAGTATTTTGTAATTGTTTCAAAATTAAATTCAGTGGATATAACTTAAGATAGTGTTTTCTGCACTAAAATCTATCCTCTAAAGAACAACTGACAGTTTAGTTTGTATTATAAAAACTGAACAATGATTAAATAATCAGTATTACTGATAACATGTTATCGTCATTCCACTTTTCTTCGTTTATCACTTAACATAACAATAACGAATATAAATTAGTTAAATATTGAATTTATAATTAATAAATGAGGCTAGAAATGATAACCTTATCGGACACCTGAATGTGCAAGTATGTTAATTTCCTGAAACATATAAAGGTATTACTATAAAGTATCTATAGACAATTACATAGACAAAGTTACACTTATGTCAGACATTCTGTATTAATTTTCAAATTACTGCAAATCTCCCATCAAGTTTACTGATAATCATGTCAGACGTGTGCATAGATCGTGGTTGCAAAATCAGGTTGAAAGATTTATCTCAAGGAGCCCGAGCTCAAGTAAGGCATGTATATTTACCCCCAGTATAACTGGCTGCACCAGCTGCTGACTGCTGAGATCATTAGCATAACAGTATGTGTCTCACACATTTCATAGTGTCTAAAAAACCTTGAGTCAGACCATTGTGCCCCGTTTCCTTGGCCCAAGACACATTACCCGCAAGGACGCTAAGTGCCACAACACTGCCTTTACACGATGTTTCTACGGGACAAAGTAACTGTAACCCTTGATGGTACCTGTATTTATGCCCAAAAAAGTGCTGATCACCCTCTTCAAAGATCCCCATGCTGTGGGCAAAAGAGGCGCAACTATGTCAAATTCATGAGCATTGTCTTTCCAGATGGTTTTGTTTTGTACTAGACACTATTGGGCCTTTTTATGGCAATGAAAATGATGCAAATATCTTGACAAAAATTCTTGGAACAGTTGAGAACCTGACCTTGTGGCTTAGTGGAGATGACAATGTGATTGTTGACCGGGGATTTAGGAATGTGTTGGAGCTGCTGCGAGGTTCAGGGTTTTCTGTGCACATGCCTTCCTAACTTCTGTCAGATAAGACACAGCATGATAAACTTACTGCCAAGGAGGACCGCCAGTTTACTAATTCCAGATGGTTTGTGGAGAGCTACCATGGTCGACTGAAACAGCGGAAACTGTTGAGAGAGCAACTCAGCTCAAACTATTTCCTTAGTGTTATAGAGGAACTGGTTAAAATTATTGCTTCTTGAATGCTGTACGTGGACCAATTTATGTGTCCACACCAGAGAGGGACTTGAGGGGACCGTCGCCTTGCTGAGTGAATGCAATCCCATTTGGCTCTACCCAACACCTTGGCCTTAAGGGTTGCAGATGAACCTGACCTTTCTAGGTACAACGAGGCCAACTTGGTGAAACTTGGTGCATGTTCAATAGCGTTTCCAGTACTGGATATGGAATATTTAGAAACAGTAACCAATGGATCATACCATTTGAAATAGCACCCAGATATATTGCTGAGCATCTGACTCCTACTGGAGAATTTGAAGTTTGGGTCTATCAGCATGATGAAAATCTTCTCCGAGGCCAAATCCATTCAAGACACAAAGCACAGTCTAAATACAATGTTTAGATTGCGTTAGACAGACATGATAAATATGACCCTGTCAAAGATTACTACTGTGTCTGTCCAGTGGGCAAGCGAACCGTTGGAATGTGCATTTTGTATTTATTGGGCCATGTTCAGCATCAAAATCAAACTAACCCAGTCCATGCAACACTCAAATTCAAACAAGCAATCACTTGCGCAGTTCTGCTATACTAAAACGCAATGTAATGTGCTACAATCTGCAACTGTTCTATCTCTTATTAGCTTCTCAAAGTTCTACAAATTATGGATCGGAACCGACAAAGACAAAACCCGTCACTATTACTGTACATAATCTATCTAATAAGGTCACTTTAATGTCCTTCATCAAAAGATTTGTATAAAGATGCTAACTTAATCTTCAAATTTTGAAACTTGCACAAAGACGTCTTTATTTTCACAAATTTCATTTATGTGACCTTGACCAAAGGTCAAGTTCAGAAATGTTAACCAAACTGATACAAATTTACATGAACAACCACCTTGTCACATAGTAAAACCTACAGACTTTTGGTTATTAAGCTGTTACTATTTAAAAAAAAAAAAAAAAAAAAATCAGTGTTCATTGGATTTTTTAGCAAATGTGTAAAATGACAAATTTACCGGCTTTCATTTAGGAAGTATGAACGTTGATGTGTCCAAAACAGTACTTTTCCCAAAAGTGATGGCTTTTTATATGATTTTTGGCTGCATTTTTCAACATAAAAGAAACGTTTCTCCTGAAATAGTGTGATATGTGGTATCAAAATATTGGTTGGTACAATGTGCACACATT